CAACCGCACTCCTCCGTGCTCTCCGTAAAGACCTGCTGGAGGAACTGCGCCGCCTTGCTAAGCCACTGCGCCCAGCCGGCGGAAGCAGTGCCGCCAGCACGGCGAGGGGCGGCGCCCGGACCCGGGCCCGGGGAGGCGAGCTGAGGGAAGGCCTGGGTGGTGTTTCACATTTTGCTGGACGTTCTCTCCTTGTATTTTCTGCACATATCTATGGACATCGCCGTTTCAAACAGGTAAATCATGGTAGATCACGTGTACATGGATCATTTTCCAGTCATGCGGCTGGAATGATCATCCATGGCACTGAAGTTGTCAGTTGGGATCCGTGGTATTCATGAACTCATCATGGGACGCTGACATGGAGACAAAAGGATATGTAGGAACTGTGCAGCAAGCAAGACTAAACTTGAGGCCGGGGGTGGATGACGAAAGCTAGCGGGGTAGGAGAAAGAAGGAAGGGAAGAGGTGAGTTGCGGAGGGACTGTCATCATCGTGTCGCGGCATTGTTCGTCCCAACGACGATGCAACAATGATATATTGATATATGATATATAACAATGATATATATGGGGGAGGGGGCAGGGGGGGGCCCTTTCGCGGGAAAAATCACGTGATGTCCTTGGGGAGCCCCGGAATACGTGCTAAAGCAAGAAGACTCTAGCGAGCTGACGCTAGCTGTCGTGATAATGACAGTAATTGCCAATAATGATAAAATGTAATTGAATAACGATGATGATGATGATGATGATGATGATGATGATGATGAATCTGAAGAATGATGAATGATAAATGATAAATGATGAATGATGAATGATGAATGATGAATGATGAATGATGATGAAGATGATGATGATGATGATGATGATGATGACGAGGATGATGATGATGATGATGATGATGACGATGATGATGACGATGACGATGACGATGACGAGGACGATGACGAGGACGACGGCGATGATGATGATGATGATGATGATGATGATGATGATGATGATGATGATGACGAGGACGAGGACGAGGACGCGGACGATGGAGAGGACGATGACGATGATGATGACGATGATGATGATGACGATGATGATGATGATGATGATGATGGTGATGGTGGTGATGGTGATGGTGGTGGTGGGGGGGGGGCCTTTCGCGTGAAAAATCACGTGATGTCCTTGAGCAGCCCCCCCAATACTTGCTAAAGCAAGAAGACTCCAGCTAGCTGACGCTAGCTTTCGTGATGAACCTCATTTTTATCTGTATATATATATATATATATATGTGTGTGTGTGTGTGCGCGTGTAATATATACAGTATACATATATAAATATGCATGTGTGTGTGTGTCTGTATATCTATCTATCCTTCTATCCATCTATCCATCTATCCATCTATCCATGTATCCATCTATCCATCTATCCATCTATCTATCTAGCTATCTTTCTATCTATCTAATCTAATCTAATCTTATCTTATCTTATCTTATCTTATCTATCTATCTGTCTGTTTGTCTATATACCTATCCATCTATCTGTCTGTCTACTCCCTTATATATCATATCTATCATCTATTATCGTTCATCTATCATCTATCATTTATCATCTATCTATACTCTGTCTATCATCGACCGTGTCTATATGTATAACATATACCTATACATCTTTATCTGCATCTCTATCTGTATCTATATCTAATTCCATCTATAATTTATAATCTATGTCAAGTCAACAAGATCTAAATCTATGTTTGCATCTCTCTATAGATTCTTAATCCTCGCCTGGGTTAGGGGGGTGGGTTGACACCCACCACTCTACACTTGGAAAACTGCACACTTGGAAAACGCAAGCAAGGTTTGTTTTTGTACAATATCTCTGGATCTATAGCTACCCCCAATCTTGGATTTTCCTTTTTAGAAAATATCCCCAAAAGATTCCCCAGCCCAATCATGGTGGATCTATCAATGTCCCATCGGCCTTCTCCAAACGTTGCGCCAGGTCGATCGCCTTCAGCAGCAGCCCTGGGCGCTGGCTGAAGACGTAGGCCGACAGCAGGCCACCCAGGTGACGGATGGAAGTCTCGAAGTAATTCACCTTCCGAATCCATGGATTTTCCATGGGAAATCCGAGGAAAATCCCCATGGAAATCGTGATTTTCTAAGGTTCATTCATGAAATGTCACCAATGGATGCGAATCTAGGGGAAGTAATTATCAATTGTTACCAATGGATGGATTGTTCATCTGGAAATGTAGGGTCGGTCAAACTTGACAAATAGATGATTGATTTTCTATGACTTGTTCATGGAGAAATCATGGGAAATCTAGGGTCAAGTTTCAAATGGAAAATAGACTCGATAGTTCCCAATGGATAGAGTTGTCTAATGTTTCCTATAAAGTTCTTTAGGCTATGTTTCAACAGGTAGAACAGACTTGTTTAGTTATGTGTAGCAAAAATTGGAACAGGGGAATAATATCTTTAGTTTCAGTAGCTGACGTGGAACCGATGGGGCCAAGGCTTAATTCCATCATTCATCACACTTGAAAATTAATGAAAATTATGGGCCAATGTTTGTGCTTGACGGATGCCGTTTCTTCCCAAGTTTGGATTTAAACACTTCCATGTTCAGTCTCCTTTCCAATTCAGTTTCCATCTTCAGTCGATGATTGATGATGCAAACATCGCAACATCCTCTGCAGCAACTCCGCCCAGAGGCACATTGAGATCCTTGTCGAAGTTCAAGTTGGCCTCTGCCCACTCAGCAGCGCGATGGAATTCCTCGTGGAAACCCATCATCCAAAGCCTGGCCAGGGGATGATGGCTGCAAACGGAACCATCTTTTGTAGAACTTCACAGAGAAAAGTCGCAAAAGTCAGGGAAATAATCTAAATAAAAATGCCCCAATAATCTAAATGGTGCTCGAGGGTATGCCAAAAAATGTAAAAAAATGCGCAATGTACCTCAATGTCCCAAATTTGCCTTTTTAAGAGCCCAAAAACCACTGACACCAAGGCACGTATCCAAAGAGTCCACCAAGGTTTGCGCCACGCCACCCCAGCTGTCCACCCCTCGCCCCGTCACCGGCTTCAGCTGATCTTTGCCAAAGGCGTGGCGTTCGTAGTTGCTCCAAACGTGGCGCAGCATGTTGCGCGCCTGCGCAGCGCCAGGGATAGGTCAAAACATGCCAGAACCGAGGAACGTGAAGAGTGAAGCTGGGGAGTTGAAGAAAAAGGCCATGTCTTTTCTTGAAAACCAACCTTCAACTTAAGTAACCAAACACCTCCAAAAGTAAAAAGTGCACATAAATAATCAAATGTAGTATCTATGCTTATACAAGTGTTAAGAGAGGAGCAAAAAAACACTACCAGCCATCGGCTACCCCACCCCCTTGCGCCACCCGCACATCACCCGCACCTGCCGTTGCGCCAAGGCCGCCTCCTCACGGACATACTGCAGCGCCAGCTTCCGCCACTCCGACCCCGAGCGCCGCTGGCAGACGCGGGAGAGCAGCGGGCAGCGGCCGCAGGACAGCGCCTGGAAAGCTGCCAGCTGCGACACGGAGAACCTACCGGCTGGGGGGGCGACATGGTGTCGGTGGAGCGACCCTTGGGAAATCGCCGGCAACTAAGTGTAAATATTATATAATGAATGTGATACATATATATATATATGTGTACATATATATAAATGTGGTGGTATTTCCATTGCCAAGTTAGATAAGCAGATGGATGGGATGCTTTCCCTGGAGGTGGTGCTTAGACTTTGTTGTGGGCTCGCAGGTTTTTGTTAGGATTCTAATCGGCCCAATTTGTCACGCCCATGATGTTCCAGCTGAAAGGAGCATAGGTCCCTGATACGAACCTACAAACCACTGGGATAATCCCCGAAGTCAGTCAAATGTTGGCAAGTGGGTTGCATCTCCCTATATCCCGGATATGTTCAGCATTTGTCCCGATTTTTCAACCATCAAACCCCCCTACAGTGGGATCATCCAAGCAACGACGCCAGCGTCTGCTTGTCCCAGATCTCCACGAGCTCTGCCGGGCTCTGCCACGTCTGCCCGCAGCCACCTTGGCTGCCGCCCGCGGCAACAACGGCCGCTGACAGCAGCAGGCAGCGCCACATCCTCCCAGCATGGCGAAGTGGCCCAGGACCACTTTGCCCAAAGGATATCAAGGGCCCATGGCGGACCAAAGAAAATGAACAGTTGAGATCTTGGAAGTTGTTGTGGAATAGGCTGGGGTGTGAAGTGGAGGTTGGAACAAATTGGGTATGGTAGTATGGAAGTGGTGGTGGGTCAGTTGTTGGGTGGTCTTGGGTGGCGTTTGCAGCTGGTGGGTATGGTTGGATGAGGGTCGGTGTTGCTGCATGGTGTTGGATGCTGTGGGCCATCCAAGCTGCTACTGCTTCGCACTTTCGCCAGTCTGGCTCAATGGCTCTCAGCTTGCAGTAGCCGTCAGTAGCCGTCAGTAGCCAGAAGCTGTTCTCTGGCTGAAGCCACACATGGCCACAGCTGACATCCACGCACCGGCCATGGTACCACTCCGTGGCTTCCAACTCTCAGGCGACCAACAAACATTGACAAGAACTACCCCCAAAACCCACCATTTTGATCCATTTTAACTATATGGTTTTAAATCACAACCTTACAACCTTGAGATGAGGCATCAGCTTCATCTCCTTCCGCGTTTTTTTCATGCACACGTTTGGCACAGAGCACGGCGTCGCCATCGGCACCGAACGGGTGCTTGTGAAGGGGGCAAGCCACCTGCGGAATTCTCTGCACCTGAACTGCTAGAAGGTAACAGTTAGCCTTCACCGCCTGCAAGGGGCAGGGGAAGCTCAAAATAAGGTGCTGCGGCGATGACAGGATATTCAAGTTGACTCAACCAGTGTGTAGGTCTTACTTTGAACCACGTACCCCAGAATAGAAGCATCTGAATTTGCCAAATTCTCCGCAGGTGACTCCGGGGCGGCGTTTTTTCCGCCTCAATCGGCCTGCATGATCACGGAAGCGAAGCACTTCCCTGTGGGAGGCGCTTAAGACATCATGTGGCTGGCGCTCGGGGTCCCACCCTAAAACAACCATGGTTCAGACGGAAATGCCGACTATCTGGAAGGTGTTCCTGCTAAAAATGGATAAATATGTGGCATTTCCGTTGAACCATTGATGGAGTCAGCCTCTTCTCTTCTGTTCGGGCGGCTGGTGAAGAAGGGGAACCCGTGCGACGAGTCTCAATGCGCTCATTCCCACGCATAACTCAGCTCAGCTGTCCTAAGGACAACGGCAGAAGAACCAGCAGAGCGAATGGTCGCCCATGGATAAATACTGAAGATATGAACTTAAGTCCACTGGAAATATCTGGAAATTGGATCGTTCAATGTTCACTCTCAAAAAAATGTCGAAACTTGTGGGTGTCGTCATCCATTTTGACTGAGCATCTCCCTGCAATCTGCCACCCCCTGGGCAAATACAAGCTTAAGGAACACCAGTTGTAAAAAAAAAATCCTGGGCTTCTCAAAATTGCCCAAAAGCAGCGGGAGGAGGGGGACGTTTAAGGCATCTTGAATTTTGAACATGCCATCACAATCCATAGCAAGCCAAAATCCCTCCAAATCACCCGAGCTACATCCTGCGACCTCGGCTTGCTTCCCCACATCCACCCAAGAAAAGGATGTCCAAAATAGTCCAAACATGTCGAACCACCAAGAAGTTCTCAAAGCCTCATATGTTCCAACCCTATACGCCAAGAACAGATGAGGGTACAAACGATGTCCCCCGAGCTGGTTCCCCCGCGTTCGACGAGGGTACACTCGCGCCCTTGGAATCGACGGTTTCCCAGCCGTCTTCGCCAGTCCTCAGAGCCAGCTCTTCCCGCACCGGGCTGAGATTCTTTGAGGCGCTGAGGCCCTGACGTGGATGCCATGGAAGCACACTGTCCGGCCTGCCCAACACAGCGGGGGGTGGTGGATCATAGGTAAAATGATTGGAAGGCATAACCCCCCGAGCAATTGCCACTACATCTTCTCCACCAGGCAGGCGATAATTTACGCATTGTCTACACCAGAAATACCCCGAATTCACCATCCACGTGGTGAAAAATGCGCGGTGTTTATGGCTTACCATACACATACCCGCCTCCTCGATCTTTGCTCGCACCTGGCAAAGACCACGGCCGTGGCTTTGGCTATATATCTCTTCAATCGCTCCTGGTTCATCCTGTTTTTGGAACGGGTCTTCTATTGTTCGATCGCTGGTTTCTGGGATCCTCTTTGTTTTTTGAGCCGTTCTATTTTGTCTATACTTGGTAATGGATCACCGCGTGCAACCTTTGACTGTATGGAAGACCTTCTACCAGTGAGGCACGGGCTTGCAACCAGGGGGTAACAACAAGGAATTGAATGATTTCATGATCATCATGTGGAAATGGCTCGACTTCCTCGACCCCCAAAAATTGGATGGCTTCAAATTCAGATCCTAATAAAGCTGAAATATCAACAAAACGACCTGTCATAAACACTGATCATCACCTATTTCTCGAAAGTAGTCTTCCAACTCTCTCTATGGCGGGGTCTATGTTGGTTCGAGGGATAGAAAATGGTTTGCCTTGGCTGCTCCTCGCACGTCTTGTGACAAGCACTCCTGGCAGCCAGGGAGATGCTGAAACATGGCGATGTCAATCGATTGTTGGAAGGAAATGTTTGCACGAAACCAATGTGTTTTAAACATGAACTATGGTGGTTCCTGCCGGAAAACCACATCTTTTAAATCATGAATCATGGGAAGTACTGGTATGGTGGTTTCATCAGAATTCTGATGCCTTGGTGGTCAATATCTTGGGACTTGGGAGACCTTCCAAGGCTGACAGGATGATCTTCCACACCTTGGGCATCCACTCCCCCCAGCCTGGAGGAAGGTCGCTTGCACTTTCCAGTACCTTGGCCATGGGTCGGTGCTGATACAGCAACGACACCAGGAGTAGGCTGGTTATGGTGACCCAGCTGCCGAAAAACAAAGGGGTTCACATTCCTGAGCCTCAATGTCTCCAAAATTGAATCCACGGGGGGAAACACCAGAAAGTTATCCTTCCTTTGCGGTCAAGTTGCTCATCACCGCCCTTCTCCCAGGTATCGTTGTGCTGACCCTCTGGGAAGACCTGGGCCGCTTGCCATGGTGGGAATTCTGGTGCAACCTCTGCTTCAAAGGCTTCCTGATCTGTGTAACCAAACGGCAAACCATCCCAGTAGCCAATCACTTGGGGAGCATGAAATCTCAGATAATTGTGTGCCTGTGCCCAATAACAAACCCTAATTGGGCATGGTTTACCTGAGAAGGGGTGGAACGAAAGCCAGCGCTTGCTTTTTGACTCGCGCGGGGGCGCGTGAAACTCCACCTCATCCATATGGCATGGCTCAAACATGAAGCGCCCCAACATCAACAATTGCTATCGGGTCATAATTTTCCAATCATTAAATGGACGTTTTTGGGGTAAACTCCACGATTTTGTAACTTCTATATCCAAATATGTTTCCTACAATGTACTGCGGCATTGTGAAAAGTTCTATCTCAAGTTCCGTAAATCCGCCTTTGGTTGCTCATTTATCTTACAACAGCGCAAGTTTGCTCCCACCTATTGTAGATAAATAATACCCGTTTTTTTGTGTGAACAGTGGTCATGTGACCTCTCACAGTCTAAATTGTTTTCTCCCCAGAATCGTGGTCCATGCTTCTCCGCGAAGTTCCGCAACATTTTGGCCGTACGGTGAGAAATCAAAACATAGCTCTACTCGCAAAATGGGCAGTGCAAACCCAAGACAATATTATAACATACGTAAGAAAGGGTATAAGAACGAATTAAAATCGAGGAAAACAATGCAAAACCCACGAGAAATATAGAACAGTGGCGAACATGCAGTCCAAATCAAAAGTATATATATTTAGGCCATTTACAGACCTGGGTACCCCCCCCCCCCCCCCAAGGGTCTGGAAAATAGGTATTTTACAGGAAATGTCGCGGAATAGCATCATCCCTGACATCGATAGAGATAATTGTTTGGCATCCCGGAAAATCTTCTCAGCTATCACACTCGCCAAACATCCCTTTTTAAAGGCACACATACTATCACGGACGTACAGATGCATATCATTCCCGTCATTGCCATTAGAAGATTCAAATTCTTTCTCGATGTTTTAGTACAAGATTCACTTTTAGTTCTGTTTCAGCCTTCGCAGTACGGCCTCTTACAATGATACTACAGCATCTACAGCATTTGTCTCCTAACCTAGGTGGCTCCTGGGCGCAATCTTCATTCCAATGCTTTGTGACAATAACCAGAAGCCTGGAGCCTATGCATCACTTGACAGTCGACTCAGTTCTAAACCGGAAAGACTATTCCTTCCGTTTACCAGTAGATCGTTTTTGTAGTTCTTATCACAAAACTACCAGAATCAGGGAGGCACCAAAAAACGTCAAACAGCTTTAAGCATTATAAATACTCTAATCTGCAGATTGTATTTATTGTTCTGACTCTGTGAACGAAATCACACTTTTCTAACTTCACACAGATTACCATGAAACCAATTTTCCCATGCAACTCTTAAAATCTTACAACTCATACATCTTTTTTCCTATACCATCCGCATCTTGCTCCAAGGTTTCATGGCAATGTCTTGTACGCGAGTCAGCCACTATTTCCTATCACCAAACTACATTGCTCATCATCTAACATTATCTACAGAAACCAAATCGGATTTCCTGCTCAACGTTTCCGCTCGTTAACATTGTCTTGGTTTTCACTATACTTTTAAAGCATTTTTAGTTAATTATAACATGTTCCTAGGTTGTCACTCTATTTTTCTAACATGTTACATGCCTCCGAGCATGTTCACGCGTGTCCTCCATGTTGTACTGTTTTCTACATCGTTTCCTCTAGTTGTTACAAGCATTTCCTAGCTTGTACACCGTTTTCCTAATATTGTCACAACTTTTCTTCCAGTTTCCACTGCTTTTTCTACCGTTTCCTGTGGTTACTTTCTTCTCTTTTGTAGATTTTCACTGTGTTTTGTCCAGTTTTTTTTATTACATGCTTCCTACCATTTTCACCGCTTTCCTCTATGGCTTTTTGTACCATTTCCTCTCGTTTCCTGCATTTCATGCATTTTCAATATATTTTTCCAAGAGTTTTCCCCGTCTCCTTCAGTTTCCGATCGTTTTTGCACCATTTCCTCTGGTTGTTATCGCATTTTCCTGCACTTTCACTGTATTTTTCCAGCATGCTTACTGCATCGTCATAGTTTGTTCCTAGCAGTCGCTCCGGTTTCCTCCATGTTCCAACAGATTTTGCACCCTTTATTCCGGTTGTTATCACATTTTCCTGCCAGGTTGTTATCACATTTTCCTTCACTGTATCTTTCCAGCATTTTCCAGTGGATTTTGCACGATTTCCTCTGATTGTTATCATGTTTTCCTGCAGTTTCTATATCCTCTTCGTGGGTTTTCAGTCTATTCATGCATTTTTAATCTATTTTTCCAAGATTCTTGCCCGTCTCCTTTTTGCACCATTTCCTCTGGTTTGCTGCATTTTCAATGTATTTTTCCAAGAGTTTTACCCATCTCCGTGATTTTTCCGATCGTTTTTGCACCATTTCCTCTGGTTGTTATCGCATTTTCCTGCACTTTCACTGTCTTTTTCCAACATGTTTACTGCATCGTCATAGTTTGTTCCTAGCAGTCACTCCGGTTTCCTCCATGTTCCAACAGATTTTGCATGGTTTGTTCCTAGCATTTTCCTCTGATCGTTGTCATGTTTTCCTCAAGTTTCATTGTATTTTCCAATATGTTTTGTCCAGCATTTTTTTATTACATGTTTCCTATCATTTTCACCTCTTTCCTCCATACGTTTTTGCACCATTTCCTCTGGTTTCCTGCATTTTCATACCTTTTCAATATTAATATTAATCCAAGAGTTTTACCTGACTCCTTCATTTGCCGATCCTTTTTGCACCATTTCCTCTCGTTGTTATCACATTTTCCTGCACTTTCACTGTGTTTTTCCAGCATGTTTACTGCATCGTCATGGTTTGCGCCTAGCATTCGCTCCGGTTTCCTCCATTTTCCAAGGGATTTTCCATGGTTTGTTCCTAGCATTCGCTCCGTTTTCGTCCGTTTTCCAGGGGATTTTGTACAATTTCCTCTGATCGTTGTCATGTTTTCCTGCAGTTTCATTGTATTTTCCAATACATCCTCATGGTCTCTCCGGCCACCAAAAAGGCGGACCTAGGGGGAATCGATACCCCACCGTCAGCAAATTACCTAGTGGTACATAATCCAGCAAAATGCTCCGTTTTCTGGCGCTCAACACAGGGGCACGGCGAGATTTCGTTCCCTTTCGGCAACCACCCCCCCCCACACCCCCTATTCTCACTTCGTTCGCAAACAGCAACTAGCCAGCTAGCTGGCTTTCGTAATTAATATGGTTTTACCGGGTTTACTGACTTTACCTCATGAACCCACCGAAAAGCCTAAAACAGTGGGTTATCTCTGAAGAGCCCATCCTCGACCATCCTCGACCCGCAGTTGTTCCAGGATATCCCAGGTCTCGGACAACGTTCCGCCGCAGCCTGCATGTTTAACTCCCGCTTATGGGATGGGCAAAACAAAGACAAAACTAGTGCAAATAATCAAACATCACAATGAGGACAAGAATACGACTAGTTATTCAAGCTAATACATAGTAAAACAATAACGAAGAAGAAAGTAGGAGAAGAAGAAGAAGACGGAGAATACGATTACTGTATCAATCTACTCCAACTTTACCACATTATATACCCCCTTCCAGGACGCCAATCCCCACCTAGATTTCTCAGCCCGTGCGTGGAGCATCCGCGAATGCGAGGGCGGAATCATCTCGTCCTGCCGGCTCGGGCGAGATGAGATGTTCAACTGGGGAACATCTAGGTTTCTAGCGCTTGAGTGTTTGATAATAAAGCATCAAAATTAGGTTTCAAACACTTGACTTGGGATATGGATGGGTATGGAGTATGGCATGGCCAATTCTCATAATTCTCGCACATTCCCTGTTCGAACATGTTTGAGCAGCCTGAGGGTTTTCACAAGCAATTGCAACCTGATTGTGTTGGTTGAGTATAGTTTGAAACCCTCAGGGAGCCCCTTCATGAAGGGCAGTGCCGCTGAAAGGGGCATGATCCAAACCACAACCAGCCGATACTTGCAATGAGCTTGGGAAGCCATAGAGTGGTGGATAGAAATGGGAACTGACTAGTTGTCGAAATACTTGCAGTATATGAACAGATTATTGCACAACTAGAAATGCAAGGCATACTGCATTCCGTTCTGATGTCAAAACATGCATAAACATGTCAAGACATGCCAAACATACCCTTGAACCAAAGTTTTTCACCCTGGAAGTATCCACAAGTTCACCCCGTCCAATATTCAGCAGTGCCCCTGCCTTTTCGCCTGTGAGGAACAGCATTGGCACCTGCAACACGCAAGCTGATTTACGGAGGAGCCCTGGGGTGTGGCACTGTGGGACGTCCCAGGTGCAGACCTTGTGAGATAAACATTACGAGTATCTAGGATATCTAGGGATATCTAGGGCCTAGGGGTACGTCTACCCTAACGGGCAAATAAGTGATGACAATCATGAGACCACCAATAACCATCAGACCATATTGACCATTGATCACTAGCCTCTGTCCTTTGCCTCAACTGCTCACACATTGTTCAAATGCAACGCGACTCTTCGGGCCCCTCCCTCTGGCAGTCGCGCCTCCAGGTCCTGGACTCTCTGAATGCTTTCCTGCACAGGGGCCACCAGGTTGCTTTGGGGTGGGATGGACGCACCGCTGCGGCCAAGGAACCCATCGGATGCGCAGGAACCGCTTCTTCAAGCTTTCCTGGGCTAAATGTTGTGGGCGGTCGGAAGCAGCGGTTGGGGAGGTTCAGGCACAAGCCCTTGACACTGCAGGATTGTTCACGTTTTAAAAGGGTTCGCATCCAAACATCCGATGCTTTGACACGAGATGTCATGGCTTGAAGGATGGGCATGGCATAGTGTTTCTATCTCTGATTTACTTGACACATGTTGAAGAATGTTGAAGAGAAGCAAAGCATGCAACCTCGCCCTCGGGCTTGTGAGCCACAATCCTAAGTCACTCCGTTGCCCTTCAATCAGCGCGGCTGCCAAGGAACGAAGGCAAGAAGTGGGAAGAGCGCATTGACCTCGGCCCCAGCAGGTAATGATCAGGCCCTCAAGGGACCCTTCCAATGATCAGCTGTCTAGAAAGCAGCTTGGCTCAAGCGGACAAATCATAGCAAGCAGCCTCATCCCTTCTTTTACCCATCCACGGGAATCCCATCCCCTCAAGCAAATCAATTCGCTCTTGACTCAGAGTCCCCTCTCGCTTGTCTTGACGTCTTCGATTCACCCACGAGCCGAGCTTGAAGCCGTCTGCAGTCTGATAGCTTTGCTTCACGAAAAGGTCTCCATGTTTCTTCTCGTGAGCCTGCAACTCTTGGATGCCACGTGCCCAGTTCGAGCCATGAGCCCAGCTCTGGCGCAACTTCCACTGGAAGCCCAGCCCATTCAGGCGGTCAATGTGCTGTTGATTCAGCGTTCCCTCGCGCTTTGACACGCGCAGTGTTTGAACCCAACCACCAAGCCTGAAGCCGCTCACTGCGACGTGCTTCACCGGCACTAAAGCATCTCCGTGATCGGATATGTATTTGACCAGTTCCTGAAAACCAGTCATCCATTTATCACGCCAACCGTCCACGACATTACGGAACACACGGACCTCCAATATCTTTGCCGCATCTTCCAAGATGGAATCTGACACTCCGCAGTTTCTGGGGGTGGCGATGCTGACACGACCTTGCGCCGACCCAGACTGGTGATCTTCCAAGGATTCCTTGAAGACAGCGTCAACTGTTGCAAGTTCGCTCAACAAGCGATACAGCTGGGCATCTTCCACCAAACGGTCATCTGCTTTTTGTACCACCGGTGGGGCTATCACCAAGGCATCGATCTTATCTGCATGGTCTCGCAATACCCTTCCCACACATTGTTGCAGTCGAATCCCATTCCTTGGTTCAACGAACAAGCAAGTGTCGGCCACTGGAAGGTCTACGCCCTCACTTATCACATCCACTGTGACCAAAACACGGATGCCTCCCCTCCGCTGGAAGTTCTTCAAGACCTCCTGGCGCAAACGAGTTTTCGTCGCTCCATTGTAATGATCGGCCGCAATGCCAGCCTCTGACAACAAGCGAGTGAATGCCTCAGCCTCGCGAACCGTGTTGCAGAAGGCCAATATTTTTCTCCTCAGTGGGAGATCCTCAATCAACTGGACCAAGCTTGGCTTTGGATCTCCGGCAGTGACCACTGGCACCATCACTGTATAGTCCTTGATGACACCCGCTTGGATGGCAGTTCGAAGTCCAAACTCGACATCCGGCTGGTTTCTGCGAAGGGTTGCAGAAAAAAAGATCCGCTTGGGACTGTGGAGGGAGAGAACTGTTCGAGCAAGACTTCCAGGATTTCTGATGTTTGGCTCATAGTGATGAGCTTCATCCAGTATAATCAGATCAAAATTCAACTTTGACAACTTCCGTGCTGAATTCTGCACACAAACAAAAATCTTGGCCTCCCAATCTGGATGCTTTCCAGTGCCAACACGTGACGGGGCGAGACCCGTTTCTTCCAGCAGTGTGGCCACTTGCTCCATCAAATCCAGCGTCAGCACGATGATACAAGCGCGCTGTCCCTCACCCAGATTTAACATATTTAACAACAGATCTGCCATGACCAAACTCTTCCCGGAACCTGTGGCCATTTGTACGAAAAAATCTCTGTGGGACTGCTGCTTGAGGAAGTCCTGGCAAGACTTGAAGCACTTCACCTGATGGTCCCAACGTTCCAAGTCCTTCCGCCTTACTTTCGGGTGCTCCTCATCCGGTTCCTCCAACTTCGCCGTCTCGCGCCAGGCTTTTTTCTCTTCGCTGGTGTACTTGCGATGTTCTGCCCCACTCCAATCCTGCCAGAGCCGTGGCACTTTGTTGTCTTCATTCGTTGCCACCACCATCCGCTTCACCATGTCCTTGAGAGGTGAGCCGTCCGCCCTGACCATGAAATGGAAATTGGTCAGCTCCTTCAGCGATACGTTTCTGCCGCTGGCATAGTCCTTGGCTTGCACTGCAACCTTGCAATCCAACGAAAAGGAATCGATCCCGTGATCCTTCGACGGCAAAGCCAACAGCTGCTTCAGCCACAGAGGTACCTGATCCCAGGGCACCGTTCCCAAATCCAGGGCCGAAATTAATTCCAGCTCCTTTCCGTCCTCCAGCTTTCCAGCTGCAATGGCCTCCAACGACTTCTTCCGCACCGCTACCTCAATGCGCTTCTTTTCCTTGTCCGTCAGAGTCTTGTGGCATCGGAGGGAAGCCAGCCATGGGCGCAAAGGGCGGGCGCCCACGCGGGCTCTGAGCAGCATGGCACTATGGGGGAACAGCCTGCGCGTCCTGCACGGCCACTTTGAGAAAAGACGGCAGAAAGCGCGGCATTGATGCACTGGGCGACCTGCTCGCCATCTGTCTTAGGTGCACAACTGCGACATTGTCCGAGCATCAAAGTGGCAAGACTGTGCTGAAACTAGTTTCCTATGATTTGCACGATTAGAGATTCCATGCGTCGCAAAATGGATGCAAAGGCTCACACACACATCACTAGACCTCGTTCCAGCTGAGCTTGCGGACCACGTCGCTGATGGAAGTGAACCTTGTTGGATGCAAATGGCTCATATTTGGGATGGTTCCCGGTAAATTTCAGCTTTCTTGCAATGCACTGTTTGTTGCGTCTGTTTTCGTCTGACTATCCTTGTTCTGGTTCTAAGTTCCTTGTCGTGGTATTGGCCGGGCTAATGGCCTAACCCTATTCCTTCCACTGGCTCCCCGAAACTACTGTGAAAGAAAAATCCCAGGATCCAAACAATTCAAACCCCAACACCCCAACAAGCCAAAAACAATAAAATAAACATGTTCCAACAAGCACCCCACCCACCCTTGACCCCACCAACCCACTGAGCTGCCCGGGCGTATTTTCTAAAATCAGGCCCTTGGGGCTGGGCCCTTGCGCCAATTGCTGCAGCTCGGCGGCTAAGGCAATGGCCACTGCCTCGGTGAAACCCATCCCAATTCATCCATATGAATCCAACGGTAGGGATGGAACGTATAAAACATGTCAAACTTTCCAAGCACCAACTAGCATAGCTCCGATAAAAGCAAAACTTTCTGCCCAACTTGCGGCATGGAGGGAGCTCCACATCAACAGCTGGGGCATCGGACACCACCCAGGGAGCGTCCAAACACAAAGAGCCGCTCAGGGTCGATGCCTCGAAAAATGGGCACGCTGCAAACTTGCTGAAAGTTGCGATAAAACTGACGAGGCATATGTTGAAAGCAAAAGGGTACGGTTCCATGATGCTTCACATCAATTCTTTAAACTCTCAGGTTCCATGTGGTTTTTTCACCTCCTGACTTCAAGTAGTTCTCTCGAATCTCCCCCAGTTGAGGTGTACACGACCCGCTTCCGACTCCTGCCACAGCGGTGAGAAGAGTTCACACCTTTTTCATGGTTCAAACCCGAGTTTTTCGGCAAGGCCTCGGAGAAAAGAAAAGAACTGGATCAATGATTGTTGGAAACAAATGAGAAGCACAAAAAGTGCAAACAAGATCAAACAAGTCTATCTCAGTTTCATGGGAAATCGATGGAAATCATCATGGGCTTGCGCCTTCTTTAGCCATCTCCACGCACTGAGAGCGTCCTGGCAGGTCAAACGCCATGCTAGCCCTTGGGCCCCAGGCACATCATTTTGTAAACACCTTAAAGGTGTAATGAGGGTGGGTAAAACAATAATAGTGGTTAATAGATGTTAATAATGGTTAATAGTGGTTAAGTTAATAGATGTTAATAGTGGTTAATGTGGGTAAAACGATGCCATAAACCACCCATGACTGGAAATGGTGACCATACCACCTATAAAAATTGTGATTTGGGAGACGGTTTATGGCATTGTTTTGCCCACATTATAGCAAGAAACTTCAGAAACTCTGCTTTCAGGCCAGTTTTTTGAAAAGTCTGGGATAAACCATCCTTGTTATCGTCCCCAACTTTGTCAAATGCTTCATACCACCCTGACCCTGACCTCGATGAGACCCTCCTCGCTGGGAGTGCCTGGATGGAAATCTGCAAGTCGCGATGGTAATGCAAACTCCTCCCAACTGCTGACACTATACATATATATATATACTGTGTGTGTAGGTGTGTGTGTGTGTGCATCAGATAATATCATATAATCATGATATCACTGTCGTATATCATTACATCGTATCTGTTCATCAACTAATATAGACATATATATAATATATATATATGGACTATATGTCCATGTATGTCCATGTTACAGTTTAGTTCGCAAATGTCCCAATGGCACTTCATGAGTTCCCTTCCTTGTCCACCTCGCGAAGCTTTCCCATTCCCGCCTTCACTCTGACCGAAGCCTCTGTAGTCAAGTGCAAAGACCTTGGGAACAGCCGAGAACCGCCCCAGACAGGGCATGGAAGTGGCCAGTGAAGGTTGGAGTTTGGTCACAAAAGATGGGCTTTGAACAACATCTGGGCCCCTCATTGGTGTTTCCAAAGCTGCTTTTTGTTTCCTCGACCTTTAAGAAACATCGAAAAATCGAAGTCCTGGTGACTGAAGCTTGCGGGAAAAAATGTCTGGACCCATTTCCAACGCCAAGCTCAGCTACCCCCCAAGCTAGGGCCCCAGGCATTGACTTTGAGCTTCTTAATGATATGCTCAAAGTTGGGGATGCGCAAACCGATATTCCTACGCTGCAGCTGCCCAAAGAGGCTTGCTTGGTGTAGAACAACCCTGACACACCCGACATGCCACCCAAATTTAAGAAGGATGCTGAAATCTACAATCTATTCATTAACAAATTCTGTTGCGCAAAACTCAGATGCCAAACAATCCCTGAATCGAACCCAGAAATCTACTACACATTGCGATATTCCAAGTTGCATGCAAGCCCATCGCGAGTACACCCCTTCACAGACCCCGGTCCCTGCATTGGCGTGGCAGAACAGCAAGGTGGGCGAATTTCGCGTTTCCTGAGCATCAACCCAAGTTTTGGTTGGTCTTTCGTTCATCAGTGACGATAATACCATAATTATATAGCCGTATGAATCATGAATCATAACATCATAATATCTAGGCCTCTAATTAATCATAACATCCTACATAATATATATATATACACAGGCTATATTGTAATCATTGGTTCATCAGCCTATCATCCAATTCCGGTTGCGGGTCCCACTGCTAAGGTGCCCCACGTTGGCATCGCCCACCGGTAGAAACCAGCCATGTATCCGCAAGCCATCCACCGTCTCCAGGAAAACCTCACCGCAGCTCGGAAGGGTGGCATGGCCAGCTCACAATTTGAGTCTGGTTTGTACCACAAATTTATGGCATTTTATGGCAATATTGGTTGATTTATGGGTTTATATGGTTTAATTTGGATGTGTCTGGTTTGTACCACCCATGGTAATATTGGTTGATTAGTGGGTTTACTATGGTTTAAACCCAATATTACCATGTTACCAATGTACTAATAGGTTTAAACCATTACCATGTACTTACCAAAACAGGTTTACCACATTAGGCTGTTTTCTTTGCAAAATTTGCGATGACTGGGCCCTCTGGCATCCTCGAACTCCATCTGTCTGTCGGCCTCGGACTGGGGCTGGTCATCCCCATGTTCACTGGGGAAAAACACCGTGCTTTCTCCATTAATGTGGGTAAAATAATCATAAACCATTCCCAAGTCATTAGCAGTAAACAGGGAATGGTTTAACAATGGGAGTCAGTAAGCATGGTAATCATCACCATAAACCATTTATAACCAGTTCATAGATCATTTGCAAGTCATAAAACATCATAAAACCATGGTTTCTCCATTAGTGGTCACCATTTTGATAGGTGGTTACCATTCCCAGTCATGGGTGGTTTATCCCCACCGAGCTCCCGTGCTGGACTGCGCATGCCCTCAGGATTGTCGCCTCGGAACCGGTCCAAAGTGGGTTTGCGATGGCTTGGGAAGCCAGCGGGGGGTGTAACAAAGCACTGGGATACATTCAGTATATAATCATACATATAATCATATAAATACATATATTATTGATTATTATTGATTGTTATTGATTATTATTGATTATTATTGATTATTATTGATTATTATTGATTATTATTGATTATTATTGATTATTATCGATTATTATTGATTATTATTGATTATTATTGATTATTATTGTTATTGATAGACCTGAGTTACCACACATGGATAGTAATTGAAAAAGACATCCTGGTAATTTCTGACATATGGCGCAGGTGCAACATGCATGACGATGCGGCATTTCGATGGTTTTTATTTGAAGACGAGGGTTTCCTATGGTTTTAGATGACCGGAGGGCAAGTAGATTGACTCTAAGAACCGTTCCCATCCATTCACCACTTTGGAGACTTTGGGCTTCCTCATCAAACTTTGCCATCTCTGAATGATCCTCCTGCAAATCCAACAAGAGATAGCCCCAAAAAATCCTTTGGAACCTCATTCTCCACAAAACAAGGCTTAAAAACGAACTTGAAGAAAAGTCAAAATGAGTCAAAATGAAAATTCTTGGGGTGATCTGGGTGATCCATCTTCCATCTCAGGGGTGTACAGTCTGGCTAGATTTCAGCCACTTCCGGCGAGGGACTGGGCGTCTGCATCCCGGGCATCACGCAGGGGACGTACAGCATGGACTCCTCAACGGCTCGCCGTTGGGAAGTTCGTGATGGTTCAACCAGCCCCCTTCCAAAGGTAACGGCGAATCTCAACATTTCCAAAACAAAGAGGAGAAAAAAAAAAAACTATTTTTGGTGAATGCATTGGCATCCCATGTTTGAATTTTTGAGCCACTTTGAGCCAGAAGTAGCCACTTCACTGTGACTTCACTGCATCATGTCCCCTATGATTGACTCGGTATAACAGTTATAGTCATCGTAATTTATAGTATAACAGCTACGGCTTATGGCGCTACCATCTGGCACCAGTCCTGTCTCATGATCAGATTGATCACGAAGAAGAGGAGCAATCCAACCTCAGGATGCATCTGTGCCAGGCCCTCTTTGGGCATGTGCCAAGACTATTCAAGAAAAAAACTAATTACATGTGGGCGGATGAACATCCAAACAAGGACCATGCTGATCCGATCTCTTCATTTTTGTGATTTGAAAAGTGATTTTAGTGACGCGGAGCCAACCAAATCAAACATCCTTTGAGACCCGAAAACCAACCCGCCACATCCCATCCGTCGCTGGGGCTCACCCACCACGATCATCAGGGCAATTACCCATGAAGAGTTCAAGAGCAGAACGAGGGCCAGGCCCACGATCAACTGAGGCACCCAGGGCTGGGGCATCTTGGGGTTGGAGGGGGGGGGTTACCCTCCGGCGATCTGACATAGCCATGGTGCAGATGGCCTGTTGGGTAGATGATTTAGCCAGGAAATTGTTATTTTCCATAGCAAACTGTCGAATTACCAGCGGGTACCCCCAAGTTATTGCCATTGAAAACGGTGGCAGTGGCTCAAAAAAATATGTCTATATACAGCAATTGATTGTTCAAGCCATTGTTGTTCATCCCTGCCCTCCTCTCATCAGCGACCGCCGTGAAGTGATCCAATGGCTTAGAAAACATGGTTAAAGCCTATGGTGACCTGACCCCCTGGGTGTGACCAAAAGTCACGAACGCCAATTTAAAAACACCAAAACCTGCCCTGTTGCATTTTTATGTCCAAAATTGAAAAGATTGAAAGACACAAGCTTTGAGAGCCGACCATCAACGTCATACCTACCAACGTGGGATCCAAACCATCCGCAATGATCAGGACCTATGAAATAAAGTAAATAAAGCATGCCATAAATCCGGGTATTCCTCAATATTCCTCAACTCCCCCTGGGGCTGTGGCCGGCAGCATGGTCACGTTGCGGGCCTCGGGGTCCCCAGGGTCACAAGGACTGGGGGTTAACCTCCGGCGCCGTGTCATGGGGAAATCCCATGTTGGCAAAGAATCCAAGGAATCTCAGATCATAACTTGAGAAAGTAGGAATCTCCACTACCGGGTTGGATTATCTGGAGGTAAACTCTGGGACGCTCGAAGTGGTTGCCTGCATGTCCCTTCTCTTTCCTATCCATCTGCGTTTCACCTGGGTGTTTGAAGTTCATCCTGATCTGACTGAAGGCGTTTTGGCACAGCAGATCGCTATTTCCGGGCATTCATGTGCACATGGAAACAGCCACTCGAGGTCTCACCTGAGGTCCCGGCCCTGGGCCCCACATCAATCACCAACTTTCTTTGAACCCCAAGGCGGCGGCCATGAAAAATGTCCGTGATCACCAGGATTATACCGGATGTTACCAAGTCGTGTTCAGCACCTGATGACCACACCCCACTGCGTGGACTGAGGAGCGATTCGCAGCGAGGCCGCGGCAGGTCAAAAAAGATGCTGAAGAATAAGAAAAAGAAAAAGAAGAAGAAGAAGAAGAAACATAAGCAATTAAGAAAAATTACGAACAAGTCGGACCTGGAAGAGTCGAACCTCTCTAGGGCATGACCTACTATGAACAAGAAAAGACCTTCACATAGTAACAGTGCAGCAGCAGCGTTCGACCACTATGGCTGCCCGTGGGCTGCAGAAAAGGATGAAATGAAGAGCCCCTGCAGCCCCGTTGCCGTACACCCCCGCGTTTCTATGCTCCGAATAAGTCCAAGCAAGGCGGCGTTGAGCGGAACTTGCAAGCTATATAATCCATTGTGCCTTTGGGCCAACCACGATGGACGACGGTCGTGGTCGGCCAGCCCCGTGATGGGCTGACTCCATGCATCAAAAAACAGCGAGCTGCCTCTTGTGGCGGCTCGTTGTTGGGGTTTCACCAGGGGAGCGGGCCAGCAGTTGCACTTCCGGTGAGCCAGGTAGATATGTGGTGCTATATCCCAACTTGCGGTCGTAAAATTTAGCTACCTTGGTAAAAGCCTTTAATAACATTTAACAACCCCAAATGCACCTCCAAACATAAAGGACTGTAGTGTTTCTGGCCTTGCTCCCCAAGTCCTGAGACCCCTCTAGGCGCAGCAACCCGAGCACTCCACAAACCACAACTCTCAACAGTTCCAACCTCTCATGGTCCAAAGGCGTAGACTTCAAGATGGTAAGAATACCAATTCTTACATGTTGGACAATTGTTTTTACTATTACTACCCTTCCCAGAATTTGTGGCATGCTGGGTGGCTCTGCAAAAAAACACACACCGAAGGCCGGTGCTTTGCATCAAAGATATCAAAGTAAACCTCAAAGTAAACCTCAGCGCGCTCCGCAGAGGTACGTGTTACCCTCTGGCTATGGGATCCATGACCCATTTAGTTCGATGATAACTCCCCATTCAAAATGGTGATTTTCCACAGGCTACGTTAAAAGGACCAGAGGGTAGTCAATGTGTTCGTTCATCAGGAGCGCTTTGGCTGGCACTTTCAACTTGGTACAAACTAAATGGTCTGAATTATGTAGTCTTGACATATGAAAACATAAACACCATACAAACACAAAACCGGGAAATGATTATAAAACAAAAAATGAAGCAAACAGGAAAAAAAAGGAAATACTGTTACTGAACCCAAAAAAAAAACTGCCACCAAAAGTAGGATAACAAGAACCAAAAAAAATAACAAACAGAAAACAAAACAATAATCAAGCATCAAAAGCCAGCACAAAGACGGGAAGGCTTAGGGTTGGAGGGACCTTGTGGAGGTGGACACTATAAATTCAATGGCCATTTCAGGGACCTAAATTGGAGGTACCTACCCTGTAAGGGGATTTGCCCCCCAAATATGGCTCTAGATATCAGGTACAGTTCCTCTATTTTTGGGTCCTGACGTTCCCGCTGATCAAAGGGAGCATTGATATAATGGGAACATCATCTATAAGTGGTGGATTTTCCATTGCCACGTTTGATTACAAGAGAGTACCCTCTGGTAATGACTAACATAGCTATGGAAAGATCCACCATGCTATTAATGGGAAAATCCACTATTTCTATGGCCATTTTCCATAGCTATGTTTGACATAACCAGAGGGTATGCTTTCTGTGTCACTGAACATGACACCAAAATAATACAAAATGACTATCGAACGCCAGGTCCCAGACCTAGCTCCTGCGCTGCAGCAGCACAGCCCTTGTCGTGTCTTTGCAGGACGAACCTCAGAAATGGAGGGAAAAATAGCCTCAACTAACATAGCTATTGAAAATGCCCGTTTAGTTTGTTGATTTTTCCAATTAAAATTGTGATTTTCCACGTTTTTTTGAATTTACCAGAGGGTACCAGGAAATCTGTGCCTAGGAAAATGCCATCCTCGTGGAACTTGAGTGCAGCACTGCATTGCAAGATCAAAGTTGCGAAACCATCCGTAGCAACTATGGCTCCAACAAAAAAAACTGGAACCAGTGTCAAGGACTGTATTCCCAATAAACATCCCAAGTATATCACACTTTTTCGTTGTCCCCAGTAGAGTCCCATTTTCAAATGGCGGCAGTCCAGGCCCAACTCCCCTCAGCTTCCGCGCTCTTTCAACGCCTCGAAAGTCACCTCGGTGCCTGGCGATGGCCCATCCGAAGAACAAGCATATTTATTAACAGCCAAAAGGCGGTGATAATTTTATATATATATGTGTGTATATATATATATAGAGTGTGTGTGTATGTATAGAGAGAGAGAGAGAGAGAGAGAGAGATAGCTATATATATATAAGAGAATATCATAAGTAGATCAATGATCCAATTTCTAGTCTTGGAAAGCGTACTATTTGAATATGTGTTCAATTGCTGGTGTATTTCACTCTGATTTGGTCACTGTTGAATACCAGGCCTGTGGGTGCGATTTGCCGAACAGCCTGCAGCTGGACAGTGCACTGGTGCCATGGGAAATTCCCACACTCAATGAAGGTTTGGATAGGGAAATCCCCAAGAAATCCTCTCCAACTGGCGGTTTTCCATGGGAAAAGTATCAATAAAGGGAGGTTCCAATAAAATACTCATCAAACTATAGCTGGGAAGTTTTTCCAGCCATGGAGCTGATTACCAGTGGCTATCACAGTTTTTATGTTGGATTGGGGTGCAACATCGGCGGGTATTACTCTGTATCTCTGAAATCGGAAATTCAAGCTAATCCCTATGGCCATTGCTTCCCAAACTCCCCCAAACGAAACCCTGGAATGTCTCGGATCTTTTTGTTTTACAACATATGAGTTGGGAAGCGGGATCACTTCAAACATCTATCCTCTGGTCAATTTAACATAGCTACGGAAAATCACCATGCTTATTAGATTTATTAGCCATGCTTAACATGCAAATAATAGATGGTTCATGTTCCATAGCTATGTAACAAATTGCGGAATGGTAACTCCTGTCAACATTCCCATGTTTGTTGCTTAAATGTCTATGAACCACCATAACATCTCAGTATTTCTCATCAAACCCTCAGGTAATTCCCATTAAATCCAATTAAATCACCATTGTTGTTGGCTAAATCCCATTCATTCCCATGAAACCCCTAGTAATTCCCATTAAGCATCATAAAATCACCATAAAATCCACCTTAAAATCACTTGGCTCACTGAAAAATCCCATGAAATCACTATCAAATCCTATTAAATCACCATTTTCCCAAGATTTTTTCTGCGACACCTCCAGATTTTCCTCCCGCTCCACAACGCCGCCTCGCTCGCGGTGAGCTCTGGATCCACGGCTGCACGGATGCGGGCACGGCCTCAAGGGGAGGTTGTCATTTTATGGAGGATTTCATGGGAACATCATCTACCCTCTGGTAAACTAACATAGCTATTGAAAATGACAATTTATAGTGGATTTTCCCAATGAAAATGGTGATTTTCCATAGTTATGTTAGTTTACCAGAGGGTATCAATGGTGGATTTTAGTGGATTTTCGATGCTGTTCCCATGATTTTTTCGATGATGTTCCCATTGAATCCTCCCATCAATTCGAATTAAAAAGGATCCTAAACTGGACTGTACCAAACAAAGCCATATTTTGGAAGCATGTGCCCTTACATAGGTCTTAGATATAGTAGGTACCTCCATTTTACGTCCCTGAAATGGCCATTGATTTTAGGGAAAACACCTGGGCCGGTTTGGTATAGGACGTACACGATTTAATATAATCTACCTATTGGCTGTTAATCGTGACAATTTATTAAGCTGCAAATAGATGTGATCTTACATATGTTTGGGGGCGATTCCCCCAATCCAAACCATCATGAATCATTCCAAACGTCACAGTGAGATAATTATGATTCATCCAAATACAATTTTCCATAATATACAGTAGTTAATGATGTTAATGTTGCCATGGCGGTATGGAAGTAACCGTATGAATCATCCAAAAGAATGTGGGCATGGAATCATTACAATCAACAAAAATCCGGATGGCAGATGATCGCAGATCCCCATACCAAAAAGTCTAAAAATTGTCCTCCACTGCCCTCCACCCTACCAAACCAAGTGTTCAAACGGCATGCAGGCATCTTTCGGTGCTGCATTCTGATAAGTCCAATAATTAGGTCAGAACATGTGCGAATCACAGGTCAGAGTGACAAATGAGAGCTTTCAGACTACAAAAAAATGGGAATAAATTCATCACGATACACAGAGCCTGGCACCACCCACCCTGCTGCCTTCCATATCGTTGTCCTTTTCAAGGCGGAGCAGGCTTCAAAGAAAAAACTGGAAGCCATGCTTTCAGGTTCGACATTTATGTAGGTTGCTAATTTTATCATCACGGATCACGGGTATAAGGTTAGTCCAATTAACGGTTTACTGTAGTCAATGTGCCTCATGGTTGGGAAATTCTCAGTCACTCCCTGGTTCCCAAGGTCATACGGAATTTGCATGCCCCCTGGATAAATTACATAGAATAATTCACCAACCTGAAATGAAAGATTTTGGGATACACGCCGGGAATCAAACGTAGCAATGGAAAAATCCACTATAAATGGATGTTTTAATGTGAAAATGGAAAAAAATGTGCCATGCTTGATTCCCAGAGGCTATATCCCATTAATATCCCATTCAACCACTATAGAAAACCATTAAATATCATTAAATCACGACTACATCCCGATCCAAATCCCATCAATTGCAGTGACGTCCCACCCAGTCCTCACTACCTTTGCCCAGCCCCGGCAGTTCCCAGCTCTGCCCATCCAACACCTTTCAGCAATGGGGCGGTACTCTGACCAGAGTGGTTTAGAATGGTTTAGAAGCTTAAAGTTTTATATGGCCAATCGCCACGAAGAGAATATATAATATATAATATATTTAGCTAGGTTCAAGATAGGTGGTAGAGGCCTTAAGTAAGATCCAAACATGTCTGGTACGTACGGCTGGTAGGTTTGGTTTTCTTGGTACGGTACGGTTGGTACATGTGGTACGGTACGGTTGGTACGGTTGATACGCTTAGTAAGGTACGTTTGGTACGCTTACCAACCGTACCGACCGTACCAGTGAACCGTACATAACCGTACCACCGTACCGTACCAGATTAAGGGGGGGGTCAAGGGGGGGGCGTTTTGGATGTACCAATACTAAAGTAGTATTGGTACATCCAAAACGCCCCCCCCTTGACCCCCCCCCTTAATCTGGTACGGTACGGTGGTACGGTTATGTACGGTTCACTGGTACGGTCGGTACGGTTGGTAAGCGTACCAAACGTACCTTACTAAGCGTACCAAGCGTACCTACCCAAAGCGTACCAAGCGTACCAAGCGCACCAAGCGTACCGTACCAAGCGCACCAAGCGTACCAAGCGTAGCGTACCTATCTTATAGCTGGATATCAAGCACCTATCTTGAACTTAGATAATAATATATATAATATATAATATATATAATATATAATATATATAATATATAATATATATAATATATATAATATATAATATATATAATATATAATATATATAATATATATATAATATATAACATATATAATATATATATAATATATAATATATAATATATAATATATAATATATAATATATAATATATAATATAATATATATATAATATATATATATAATATGTGTGTGTGTGTCTGTGTGTCATGGGGAGTCACTATCCCAATGATTCCAATAGTCCAAGCCTTTAGGAAATCCCAAACGTGCGCACTTTAAGTTTGCCCCCCCAGATCAACGTAGACCCTGAGAATGGCAGGGTCATCCCGTGATCCCCACATCACTGCGGCCTGTTCCAGCTTTGAAGCGCTCAGCACACCGCGGTGGTCCTGCCAAGCGTCAACGGATTGATGTGCAGAGCAACCAGAGAAGTAACTTACCATCAGTTTAGTAGGATTTTAGTGTTCTCTCCTTGCAGGGGTTATCATGAAGCAAATTTCCAAGAAACCAATTCTACGTTCTAGTCACCAAGAAAGAGCTGAGGTGCCCAGACGACACCCCCGCAGTTGCTGGTCCTCGTTGGCCGCTATGAAGATGTGCCACAGCGCACGGTCCTCGCAGGGTGCATCCCCTGGTTGATGGTAGATGCTGCTAACGAAACAAGAATCTGTTGCCCCCATAATATTAAACACACCCCATAAACCATGGTTTAGTGGATTTACACATATTTGGGACCATTTAGGGCTGTTTTGGATTGGGGGGATTATATAGATTCTACAACCATCTGTTCACTTTTGGCCCTCACCCCTCGCTGGTATCAACAAAGAAGGCTCTTGGTTCCATGGTGTCAATGGAATCTCGGCAAAGAAACAAACGTCCCGGCCGGGACCAAACAGCAGTTTGATGCATCCCACCCCTCCAAGGCCCCGTACCACATGATCTTCCGCCAATTCCATGCAACCTTGAACAGTCTTGGACCAGTTGTGTCTCTGGGGCACTGATCTTCAAAAGCCAGGAGTGACTAAAACCGGCGTTTGGCGAGGTCAGGTCCAGGTTTTGAGGCCAAATGTGGTGCAAAAATCTGCGCGTTGTGTTTCCATTGGGCATCTAAGAAATGTCAAAATCCGTTGCCTGAAAGGATTCGACGGGCACACGTCCCAAGGTACGCTCTCTACCCAAAGCTGCCGTGAGCTACAGCCCCTCACACATTGATGGAACCCAAGAACGGCCCTGACATCCCTTCGGATTGCATTCGGACTGCTTCCAGTGCCACATTTGTAAGCATTACGTGCCGTACTTTCACGATGGCTGAATTGTACTGACTGAAAGGAAGACCCTTTGGAGTGCTTTCCCACAAGAATGATGGGATCATACCCACAAAAAAATGTGAAATAATGATAGACTTATAGCCAATAAATGCCAACATTGTGACATAATGTGCATACTATCCAAAATCATGGCTAGGTGATCCAGGCGCTTCCCCTGGCCATCCTCCAACCACGTTCCGCCACGCAACGTCGCACGAAGAAGCCATGAGCCACATTGCCCTGCCCATCCACATCGTAGGTTTGCCTCGTCCCACCCCCCAAAAAAAAATAAGGTGCGGCATGCTGGAAGAATTCTAGAAGTAGCAAAGTGGGTGAAGATCTCAACAAATCACACCGTTCAATTGTTTCTGCCGTGGATCACCAGCGGTGACTAGCCACGATGGCCTGGCAACCCACAACTTATCCCACTGATAGCCTGATACCCTCTGGTAAACAAACATAGCTATTGAAAATGGTGATTTATAGTGGATTCACTAAATTTACCCATTCAAAACGGTGGTTCCCCATAGTCATGTAAACGTTTACCAGAGGGTAGATGGTGAGAATCCCATGGCAAAAATTCATTGGCAACTCATCAGTTGCTCAAAATACAGCTCTACAGATTTCCATTCGGAGGATGAGCTCATCGGAGAGGCCGTTAAGGGCTTGAAGCCATCCCCAACTGTGCTCCCGGACATGATCCGTTCGATGGTCTGTACCTGCAAAATCCAGTGCTGTCACCAGCTTGTTGAAGGATGTTTTCCAAAAAGCGGATATCTGCGGAAAGATGCCCCAATTTGCCCAAATCATATTCTAGAAACAACTGTGATACTGTTCTAGGTATTTGTGAGTTATTTGAAAACCCTTTGCAACATTCTGAAATTGCCCGGTTCCTTTGTGTTTCCAGGCTCCCTTCAAACCGCCAAGGTCACAGAGAGACCAAGTTGAAGCAGGGGCGCCACACCACCCAAGGGTGTCCTTGGCGAATGCGGGGCTGGGCCAGTGTGTGACTTCACCAGTCAGGTTGGAAATGGCAAAAATGGCAGGAACCGAAAGCAGAAATACATAATGATTCTATGTATATAAATGTATACATATATTATATACATATATACATACTGAAACCCTGCGTTTTCGAGGTTTGCTCTTGCAGCAGCCCCCTTTGCAAGAGATTCTGGCCTGCCTTCTTTCCCCGCGACCAACATCAAAATCCAAACGGATTCAGCGTTTCGCCCAGGATCATTTGCACCTTGTCCAAGGATTCCAGCGTTCCATCCTCGGATGCACAGATGATCTGTGGAGGTCAACCTGGTGGAGCCTTTAAAAGACATGGCTCCACAACACTTTGCCACATGAACCACAAATGAACCACAAATGGACCACAAATCAGGTCACCTTCTGCTTTGCAGCTCTGTATTTTGCTTCGCTTTCAAGATTTCAAGGCATCAATTCAGCACCAAATCCATAGGCCCTCCGGGGCCATGGATGCCATGGCCATCCCAACCAACTGTAACCAACGCCCAGCGTCGAAGTGTCGCGGCAAGGTGGCTTTGGCAAAGACACTGCTGGCGCAGGAGATTTTGCTAGAACTCAGGTGGTTCATCACTTGATTCGCCACCTCCTACAGTAGCTAGCAGACTTCCACCACTGGACTGGGTTTTTCGGGGAAATTTCGAGGCAGATTCGGAAGAGCCGATATTTCACGGTAACAACCAGGGTAAAAACATGTAAAAACCATGGTTTCCTGTTGTTTTTCCCACCAAGCCATTGAACGAAAGGATGTTTCTTTTTGGGGGCTGGTGGCGGTTGGAAGTCCTCCAAGATTCCTGAGGAGAGATGATTTCACTACGACCACAAGGATGTGGTTCGGGTTGGTTGGAATTCCATGGATCCTTTTTAATGTCATGTTTGTATATTTTTGTACGATAGAATTTTGAACCATTACCCTCTGGTAAACTAACATAGCAATGGAAAATCACCATTTTGAATGGGAAAATCCACTATTAATGGCCATTTTCAATTGCTATGTTAGTTCACCAGAGGGTAACCCAAAATAACCCAAATCACCGGGTAAACATTGGCGTCGGCGTAATTGACTTGGATGTGCTTGACAGTGAGCTGCAGCTGATTGGTAGTTGCATCTGCTATGAAAATGTCTGTTGGTCACTTGCTGCCAAGGGGGGCATTTGGTTTCCAGCTGATGAAAAGCTATCAACTAGAAGGATGGAGCTCAACCTCTGATAATTTTCATGGCATTGGGTTGTACCTCTGGAACGCTGCCCCTTTGATTTTTGTTGGCTCCCAACCATTTGGTTTCTGTTGTCCCAGCTTCACCCCAAACACGTCAAAGTGTGAAGACGCCCTAGGATGCATGGTGGTACGATCCCGTTGCGAACTCTTTGCATTGGTGGTATGAGGACTGCAGCACCTAGGATCAAATCGCGGTGGTACCAACCAATCCATTCCCAAATCTCCACCATCCCCAAGGTTTTCATGGGAAAACCCCTTGGTTTTTCGACATATTTGTCCCTCCAACGAATGATCCGCAGACCCACCTGGCCTTGCTCCCCCTGATCCTGGCATCGTACTGCAGCAGCCGCTCGAACCTCATGGGTGAAGTCAAAAAAATGCGGAGGTGATCGGCAAAGATGGGATGGAAACCATCAAACATAGGGGGTTGTAACCAACAATCAATGGGAACTTGGTGCGGCTGAAGAATGGCCTTTGAATAGGAACGCAAAAATATAGAGGGAAACCACCCAGAATGGGAATATGAACCGACAACGCTAATTTCCGACTGCGATATCCTCTTCCAAAAACCCAGGTTCTGTGTTAGCAAATCTGCGACTATCCCATCGTTTTATGATCCCTTGCACGCTTCAGCGAACTTCAGCTCAAGTGACCTTGGATATATATGAATATGTCATTACAGTCATCAAGTGTCCAAAAAAAAACATTTTCCCCCAACCAATATTCTAAGAATTGGATGGTCAAATTCGGTGGTGGAACCCCGGGTAACCACCACCTGACTCGTTTTAGGATGACCTCCGGGCTCATTTGAAGGTGGATTAACCATCATTAAGCCATCGAGATCGGGCAAAATCTTCTGGTTTAAACCCCAAGTCGTGGCCATGTGAAACCACATGGAAGGGATTTGTCGGGTCCCAAGTCTTCATACTGATACTATAGCAAACCACACCCCAAAAGCATAGATACGGATTCCTCCCCCTTAGTATAGAACACCCCCTATTAACCCCAGTTTAGTATTAGATGCCTATATTATATTATTATTAACCCCGGTTTAGAATACTGGTTATCCCTTTAACCCCAAAAATCCCTTCTCCCTAATATTAAACAGCCACCAGAAACCACGGTGGATGTAGGGGATGAAATCACATAATTATTTGGGACCGTTCGATAGGAGTGTTTCACATGAACAGGGGATGAGATCATATCCCTTATATCCTCATTATACCTGCATTCTTGTTATATATATATATTATATATAATGTTATACAATCAAGCTATTTCATCCCTATTTAATTTAATGTATTTTATAAGTATTATAAATTATAACCGACATCCCAAATTCGCTACTGGAAGTCACCCAATGGCTGCGCCCAAAGGGCACTGTCGTGGGCACCACATTGCACAACACCGACGTCGCGCCCGGCTGCAGCCAGGGGTAGCACAGGCACTCGTCTGCCGTGGGGCGCTGCGCCGGGTTGCCTCGGGGACGGATGAAAAAACGAAGGTGGTGGTGCCATCTACAGTGAAGGTTTAACATGGTTGAACTATGTGTACCCTCTGGTAACTTAACATTGGACCCTGAAAATCACTCATTTTTTACTGGAAACTAATCTTCTAAACCCCATCTGCCCGGGTCTATGTTAATTTACTGGAGGGTAACTTTCAAAAAGGTCGTGCTTTCCACAACACAAATAAATCTGTGGAAAATCATGCAGATAATTCTTGGTGGAGTTCGGTGGAATGGGTTCTTGGCGGAATAGGTTTACCATGGTTTAACCAAGATTTGACCTTCGAAAACGCGACCTGGTCGCGTGATGTCACTCCAAAAAATGCAGATCGTCCAGTACGAGCTTTCCATGCACAACGTGGTTAGTTTCAGTTGCTTTTTCTGGTGGTTCTCAAATTCAGACCAGCCTGCGACTTCCAAGTGAGCCCCGAAAACTTGTACATGACATGGGGTCATAGTCCCAATCAACTCGTCCCCCAGACATGTTGTGGGTAGTTTGCGCCCCTTCGAACTCATCATGATATCACCAATCAAGACCAATACTCACCAATACTCAAGCCCAGGCAAGATTTGTCCAATCGCAGCGCCAAGATGCTTTCAAGCATTCGGGAACACAAAGCCTCTGCTTGTGCAGAAGCGTGCCGCAAATGCGACCATTCCTTGGTATCTTTTCCCTGGTGATTCTCACTGCGCCGGGCATGATGATCATCAATAGCAAACGGATATATTCCTCACATCATTCCTTTTCGAGATGGTGTTTTTGGCACGGTTTGCATGATGCTATCGGTTGGGCAAGTGGGGCAATCATCCAAGAATCGAGCTGTCCTGTAAAACATCCCCTCTTTGCAGTTCCAAAGCACAGGTTACGCATGCAATTTGTGCTGAAAAGAAACTTGTTCGGTCGCTTTTGGCACAGCTTTCAACTTTTGCACCGCTTTGCAGCTTAGGAAGCAAAATCAAATTGAACCATGATCTACCCACTCTACCCACCGATATTTGATACCTAACCTGTCTTCCGGTCTTCCTCACTTCTTTTCTCCACTGAGGTAATCAAAAATCCACCTTTCATCATGGACAGGACGCCTGCCCCAACGGTCCCAGATCTCCCCGAGTTTCGATGTCATAAAATTGCGACTTTTCGGGCGGATGGAAGGGACCACCGAAGCAAATCTCATTGGTCTTCAGGGGCATGCAGCCACCTAAGACTGTCGGAGTGTCACAACGGCTGGTCGTTGCAGGTGGCTTAAACCTGGACATTCGCAGGAAAAAATGGAATGAGGATTGACAAGTTAAGGTTTGATTGTTGATTTTGCTGTGATGTTGTGGTTTTCCTGTGATGTTAGCAGAAAATTCTCGCCCGTTGACTACGTTTATATCATGCTCTCTCGTACCTTGTTGTTGATTCCGCCATTCCAATTTTCTCCCACCAATCATGGTTGGAGTGAATACGACGTCCGGAAAAGTGGCTGTGTTCAATATGCGTCAACATCTACAAATCGCTCATCGCACCAACTTCCAAAATCATTCCACCCAACCCCCAAGCCACCCAAAAAAAACTCCACCACCCACCAGACCTTCCCAAAAAGAAAAGACTTTGACGATCGACGCTGATTGTCCCAGCGACTCAGCAAGATGTAGAGCAGACATCCGCAGGCCCAGACGTCCTGCTTGGGCCCACACTGCTCCAGCTCCGCCTCCAAGCTCTGGTCGTGTCGCCACCATGGCGTTGCCGGAAGGTCGCAAAACTTGTTGCCGGGGGAGGAGAGGATGCCGGCCAAAGCCAGGTCAGAGATAATGACCTTACCATAGGGAAAAACGTGGGAAAAAACATGAAGCTTCGGAAGTTGGGGCTGGGATGCGGAGAGGAATTCTCAGAATATTTTTGGTGATTTCATCAATGGGGATCTCACACCCCAAAAACAAAAATTAATAAAACCATCCAAAACCCATTGATGATCTAACTAATCCAATCCCGTGGTCATACCAAATACACTTAGAAATTGAGACTCCGAAGTCAGAAAAAAAAACTATACTTTGACCAGGTGAATGTTGGGGTTTTCATTGGGAAGCAAGCTGAGGTAAATGTTCTTAGTTTGCATCTCTTGCCTTACGTATGAATGGCATGACCACCAGTTGGGGGACAAAAGAAGCACGGTCGAAGCAAAACCATTTGATCAATCCAGGTACGAAGCAAAATCGACTAGTTCCGCGGCCCTTCTTTCTTCCATACCCCCTTGGGTCGATCGCAACCCCAACAACAAAAAAATGAAAAAGTCGCAAAATAAAAATAAAAACTTCCAATAGTTGGAAAACCTATTAAAATAGTGGTGAGTGTCACTGAATGTCTATCTTTTTGGGGTGGATATAGATAGATAGAGATAGAGATAGAGATAGAGATATAGATAGAGATATAGATATAGATAGAGATAGATAGATAGATAGAGAGAGAGAGAGAGATAGATAGATAGATAGATGGATAGATAGATAGATAGATCGATAGATGGATGGATGGATGGATAGATAGATAGCTAGCTAGATAGATAGATAGGTAGGTAGATAGGATAGGATAGGATAGGATAGGATAGGATTAGGATTAGGATAGGATAGGATTAGGATAGATAGAAGTCGAAAAAAACCGACCAAAATAGCGGAAAAGCTACCAAAAGTAGTGGTGAATGTCTATCTTTTTGGGGCTCCGTTGCCAAAGCACATGGGGCGACGTGGCCGGATCCGAGATGGAGGCCAAGCCCACGCTGTCCATCCCCAGGTCACCGTGGACCTTGCTGTGCTTAGGGAATGGATGGGTTGCTGTGGGTTGCTGGGATGACGTTACTAGTGATTGTGGATCATTCCCTCCCTGCGTTTAGCACCAGTAAGTCATTTATTCTTCATAGTTGATACTTATTGTGGATAGTTGATAGTTGTGGATAGTTGTGGATAGGTGATAGTTGATAATTGGAATGGTATGATTGTTGATAGTTGTGGGTCATTACCTCCCTACTAAGCACAAGTAAGGATTTTTTCAGCTTCCCCAGCTTAGACTACCGAAGGAAAAAACATAGTTGGAAAGAGTTGGAAAAAGGTGAGAACACCTGACAATCTGACAAAATATGGGACCTGTTCGACGGCTTCTTATGGTTTCCTGGTTTTTCAGGTTGCCCACCCCCGGCAAGCTGCAATGCTCCGTGGCTTCTTCTGATGACAGAAACCCAGAGCTTCCAGAACTTGACGCATCACCTGAGGGGTCCGGATTTTGGACTGTGGGCAGCCCCAAAAACAAATCCCCAAAAACACGATGTCAACAGAAAAGTAAAATGAACATGAATGAAATAAAATCAACCCCTGCCATGGTCCCATCATGTCCTATCCCCCAAACCTGCCCTTCCCAGCACCTGTGAGACCCACGACTCGGTGATCTCGAACTTGGCGTCGTATTGGGAGCGCAGGAAGGCCAACAGCCGGATGCTGTCCACCAGCCTCGAAGCTGTTCCCAGGTCTCCAGGTTTGAAAATGGAGAGGTTCAGGAAACCATCAATTTTCAACAAGCAAACACTAAAGACTCTAAAGACTAATAAGCAGTCACAAGCAACAACAGGTTCAACAGCTTCAACAGCTTCAGAGAGAACAAGCAAACTGCAACATGGCTCATTCATGCTGATTCAACGGTTGATGTTTGGGGTAAAGCCACCCCACGGTATCCAATGATAGCCGTTCCAATCGGTTCGAGCCAACGCATCACAGTGCTACCTTTGCCGCCAAGCAACTCAGAGATGATGTAGATGCTATTAAAGTCCTAACTGCAGGGCTGCACGTTTTGGCCCAAGACATTGAATGCTTTGAGATTGGAAACCACAGGCTATTTCATCATTTGCTGACCCGGTGACCACCGCTGAACTATACAACATGGAACCTCGGCGATTTTTTTAATATAAACCAAATAACTATAGCCATGTCCATCCATTTCCAAAGTCATGACACCGATATTACAACAACCATTGAAAACAATCCTTTCGACTTCATTTCTTTCGTGGTTCCCCATGGCTCCCAGCGTCCTCAAAGCTCTCAACGACACGATGAAGGTTGGCGTTGTGCATGGAGCGCAGCGTTTCAGCTTCGGCGCGCACTTGGTCCTCGGCAAGTCACGTACCACCTTTTCCGGGTTGTTTGACTTTGTCAAAAATCGAAGCCTCAAAAAGATAGATAGGGCATAATATATATATACATATATATATATATAGTATGTTTTAGTATGTTTTGGTGGGATTCTATTTTTTCTATCTCTATCTTTTTCCACTATGAATTCAATGCCTTCCAACTTCAAATATCTTCAGTTCCATCGGGATTTCTGCCAAGTCGCAGCAGGGCATGCCATTCGGTCCTTGCGCACCTGGGTGCAGAGCCTTTCTTCAAAGCTCAAACCTGCCAGGGAGACAGGATGCTGCAAGCAATCACGGGGCACCTCCCTGCAGGCGTTGGAAAATCATGGGAAAATGGGACACCTAAATGATGGGAGTCACAGATTGAAGCTTGGTGTGGACCGAAAATTGGGACAATGGCCGGGTGCCGGGTTGGATCTTAGATTTGGGGCCATGAGAGCTGATATTAACCATCGTCCAACCTCTCGAGTCGCTGAATTTAGATCGTAAATTGTTGAGGCTTCAAAGCTACACTTGAGACGACGGTGTGCAAGGCATCAAAGCCATACACACATGGAACCTAAAAATTATCTCGTTTCCAGATCGTCTTCCAGATGGGTTCTAGTTGACTTTTCGGGTGGCAGTACATCCTTGAAAAAAAAATTGCTGCCCCAGTGGCGCCCCCTGCATCGGTAGGTTCTTCCAAAGCGACTGGGCGTCAGCAACTGGAAATCTTCATAACCTGCCAGGGCCAACGAACTGGGATGATCATCATGCACTTACATGGCATTCTACTGCATTGTATAATAATTGTATATCATGAACCTTTTCAAAATCAAGGCATGTGCGATGTGCGATCATGTGGTTTCTCTAAGGTGGCATGATTAGCAAAGGTCGATCACCGGCTGCTTCGTGGTCCAGAGGGATTCCCCAGCTTCTTTCCAGCTCCCGTCATCGTGTCCAACACTACGGCACCCCGAAATCCAAGGCTTTATCATGCTTTATCATCATGGTGCCACCCCCTGTTATAAGTTGGTTTGAACCCCATTAATAATAAATATACGCACATATTATATATGCATATATATATATATATATATGTGTGTGTGTATGTATAATTATATACATACCATAAACATCCATAAACCACAGTTACTGTATGGGGCACCACCTTGTATCATCTTCCCTTAAAGCCAGATTTTCTCCCCATCGGACCGGTCCGAGCCGGGCCACGATCTTGCAAACGATGCGCACCAAAGCGCACCGTTCGCAGATTGCGCAGGTAGGACTCAGGCCTCGGGGTTTTCCGGCTTTCCGCGCAGGGAGGCAGCCTATTGAACATGCATTTCATACATGCCTTACCAACCAGGGATGTTTTTTACAACTCAAAATGGGGTTGTCCAAAATCAGGAATACCCCATTTGTCTTGATGGAATCTTCAATCATAACCTTTTCCCCAAAATTTCGGACAAGTCAAGTCAATGTAGAAACTACCAAAATCGTGTGAGTCTTATGCATATTTATTCAGATTATTCTATTTGATTACCATCTGGTTATTTAACATAGCCATGGAAAATCACCATTTTTTATAGGTAAACCATCTATAAACGGGCCATGGTTTCCATGGCTATGTTAAATAACCAGAGGGTATCTGTCTATTATCATTGTGAATAATGCGGTAAACCCAGTGTCATAAACCACCCCCCCGTCATGGTAGTTGTTTATGGAGCCAGGGTTTCCCACATAAGGTATCCCATTAAATGTCCCATTGCAAGCCATCATGAACCATTGGTTAACCATTATGAAACATTATCAACCATTATTAACCATTGGCTGCCCATTCTGGACCATTGGTTAACCATGGGTTAACCATTAATTATTGACCATTGGTTGCCCATTCTGAACTGATTAACCAACCATTCTGACGCATTCCCAACCACCCATTTGTCACTCAGCATTGACTCAGCCAACGATCATCGCATCCGTGGGACGCGAAGGAGTCCCGCAACATGCGACAGGCCGAGGTAATGAGATCTGCCAGCTGCTCTTGCGATAGTACCTGGCCCGAGCGCTGCAGGCCATGGCGTGCCAGCAGGGCCTTCCACCATGGCATGTACCTTGGCGGCCATGGATAAATGGAACAACCTGGAGGAAACCCTGGATTTTAGCGGGTTTATGGAACATTTAGCCAAATCTGGACAACCAAGTTTGGAACAATGACTTTGGCTGAGTTTGGCTGATTTTGGGTTAGCCTTTGGCTGCATGAAGTGGGATATCTGCTAGAAAATCCTTGCGTTCAATAGTAACTGTTAAAAGGAAGGAGGAAAAATCATCCGTTCTTTCCTTGTGGAAGTTCACTTAAACCAAATGACAAAGGACGGCAAAAATATGTAGTTGAGTCTCAAACATGACCCGAACTAATCCTGAGTTCAAATAGATTGGATGGGCAAGTTCAGCCTTCTGGGAGTTACGGTTCGATGTAGTAGTCTGCCCTGTTTTCCCCTCCAACGCAGAGACGAAGCTCACGGGGCAAGAACGGGATCGTTTCGGGAGTCTCTCTCCCTGTGGCCTCTTGGATATTGCCATTTTGCCATTTCCTTTGTGCATCTCAAACCGCAACTTCCAACCACCTCCTTCATTCACACTCCTTCCAACCACCCCCCCCATCCACCATTCACAGTCGTGTCTGAAAGTCGGGCATATACTCCCCGCAATTTGAATAGTAAGGTAAGATAGGAGGATCAACCCTTGGTTTTTGGGGCCTTTGGGGTACCCAATGTTCATCCACCAAGCCGCTCCTCCTCATCCCCCAACATACTCCAGAAGGTCTCCTCCTTCAGCGGCCCCGAGCCGCTCATTAACGAAGCCACAGTCTGCGCCAAGGTCTGCAGGGGTCGCAGCAGCACCAGCTGGTCCCACTGGAGCTCCTCGCGCTTCAGCTGCAGCGACAACCTGGACAGAGTTAGATGGGTAGAGAGGTAAGGACCATCATAGCACCAGCTCAGCCAGTGGAAATGATTTTGGACGGTCAGAAAGCCATTTGGAGAGAAGAAAGCGCTCACAAGTGATTTCGATCAATTGCAATTATATCATATCAGTTATCAATTCTATGATCGAAGGAAGTTTAGAAGTCAAACTTCCGACAATATGGACAGATGAAAAGCAGAGTAGGGCAGAGGCAGAGAGAAGAGAAAGATTAGAAGAGAGAAGAGTAGAAGAGAAAGAGTAAGAGGACAGAAGATACAGATGCGCGAAAAGGTAGGAAAGTCGCGATTCACTGTGTTTTTCCAATGATTTGTGGCTCCGGAGAGTCGAAAAGTAGGCTCGCTAAAGCGGCGGGTGCGGAGCTAGCTGGCCAGATGAGAGATGAAAAATTGCACGCCGTTGTGGCGCGAAGAACATTTCCAAGTCAAAATGCACAAAACACACCAGGTCCGGACCACTTTTGGAAGTTGACATGTCGAAAAAGTGTACACCGTTGTGGCGCGAAGCACATTTCCAAGTCAAAATGCACAAAACACACCAGGTCCGGACCACTTTTGGAAGTTGAGATGTCAAAAAAGTGCACGCCGTTGTGGCGCGAAGCACATTTCGAAGTGAAAATGTAGAAAACACCTCAGTGTCGGACGACTTTTGGAAGTTGCGATGTCGAAAAAGTGCACGCCGTTGTGGCGCGAAGCACATTTCCAAGTCAAAAGTGTAAAAAACTGACGGTCTCGGACCACTTTTGGAGGTTCCGATGTGGAAAAAGTGTCGAAAAAGTGCACGCCGTTGTGGCGCGAAGCACATTTCGAAGTCAAAAGTGTAAAAAACTGAGGGTTTTGAGCCTTTTTTGACGTGAAGATGTCGAAAAAGTAGACACTGATTAACTTAACTATTTTTGACTAACTTAACTAACTTCACTAACTTAACTACCCTAACCTCGACAACAACAACAACAACAACAACAACAACAACAACAACAACACCAACCACAACAACCAACCACAACAACTACAACTACAACTACAATAGATCGATAGATGGAGAGATAGATAGATAGATAGATAGATAGATAGATAGATAGATAGATAGATAGATAGATAGATAGATAGATAGATAGAAGATAGATAGGTAGGTAGGTAGGTAGGTAGGTAGGTAGGTAGGTAGGTAGATAGGCAGAGAAAGAGAGAGAAAGAGTGAGAGAGATCAAGCACCTTTCAATCCATCAGTGGATTCGCTTTGCCATCCCTGATTCACAACAACCAACTTCTCCTATAGGTTTCCTATTTTTGAAACTTCCGCCACCGCCTTGTGCGGTACTACTGGTATATTTAAGTTGAACCCCTCCAAATTGGCTGCACATGGCATGCTTGCCAGCAACCAGGCGCCAAACAGGCCAAAGAGACTCGACGCAAACCTGTTCCACGATGCTGTTCTCAGAGACCGCCGCGCAGAAAAGGTCGAAGAGGGCCAGAGTCACCTTCAGAGCCCCTGCCTTTGCGCCGTTGGCCACCAACTCCTCAAAGCTGCCAGGCATCATCTTGGGACCTGGCTGCACTACATTTGCAACTGCGGTACCATGAAACATCAAGGTGTCTTTGCTGGCTGGGGCCCTTGGTGGACCTTGATGGGCCCTCAAAGATCAATGAGAAGGACGATAAACGTGAACTTAATTACCTGGTTTCGGGCTGCAAATACCTCGAGCCTACATAGAAGAACCCTATAAATTTTGAAATCTAGATCATAGAGTAGCTCCTGGCCTATCTCTTCCCCCTCCCCTCCAAACCCCCAGCCCAAAAGCATGGCGCCTTGCGGATCCTGCGGGCTCGGCGGTCGCACCACACAGCTGGCGCCCGGCGAGATCTGGCGCCGGTTCTGCTTGCTGCTGGGGGTGCGCAGCAGGATGGCGGAGGTGTACTGCGGACCCGGGCTTTCGCGGCCAGGGCAGAAGGAGGACGCCAGACCTTGCCACACAGCAGGTTGGAAGGCCCCAACACAGAGGAAGCATGGGGGCTGGCGACCATGGGTAGCCTTGACATTGACTTTAGCCACTCAGGTTGGGAATTAATCGGGAAACTTACGATAGGAGGCCTATAGTTTACAGGTGCACAGGTCAGGAACAAGAGACTAAACCACCAGATAAAGGAAAAATGGAGCGGCACGACTTCAGCCTTCTTTGAATCCACAAGCTCTACCTCCGCCACAGCCAACTTGCCCTAGATCATCAATCTGACTGAAAATTAGCCCAAAAAAAAAAGGACAATCCTTCACCCTTCCATCCCCCCAGACATTTCATCAGTTCACTGGGCTGCGACTCCAACACGGCGCTCAGCTTCCGTGACTCCGGAGGGTCCGGCGTGCTCGCCATGGCGCAGCAGTCCTCACTCGAGCCCCCCGTTCCCAGTGCTGTCAGCAGCGGGTCTGGCGTGGGCCGTGGCGCAGGGCGCCACAGCAGGCCGTTGGTCAACGAGGCGCGGGCCGTCTCGGCCAGCCGGTCGGCGGCACGCAGGGCGGCCTGGTTGGGATAGGGAAGGGCAGGGAGTAGCCTGCGAAAATGGGGAGTTGACCAATCTGCAACGATGTTATGATGGCCTATTGTTCGTTGACAATCAAGTTGTGTCGTAACCCCTGCATTATCATCAAGTCAGGCCCTTCCCCAATCTCAGCAAACCAAAGAGGAAACCAAAAAATCCCACCAAAAATTGTGGCACATCCAACCTTTTCCATCCCAAAAAGGGGTCCCGCAGGGTCACCTTCTCATGGGGGCTCTGCCGTCCAAGGCTGGAGAGCACCACGGGGCTGGCGATGGTCCTCTCGCTGTACGCGGGCGTACTCAGCGGCACGGGGCAAATGGTGGCCGCCGTGGCCGTGGAGCGGGGCCTCGGCGGCCGGCTGCGACGGAGGCTGCAACGGGACCCTGTAAAAAAACACCTGGTGGTTAGATGATTTTACATGGGAAAATATGACATTGATATGGATTTATCTGCAAAAATTGGTTGTTTGAATGCATATTTAAATATAAATATCTTCTTCTTCTTCAGTGCCCAACACGGTCGTGTCGTTGGCACACAAGGACAGGACAGCGAGGTAACAAAATAACGCAACTGCACAACCAAAGATGGTAAGATGTGACACATAACCGTCAAGGTGTGATCTCCGTCGCAAACTCAATTGGAGAATCTACTAAATAGAAGCGATATAGAAGCGAAAGGCGCTCCGGCCTTATCCAAAAACCCCGTGCCTCAGCACTGCTTGCGTGTGCAAAAAATTAATTTGGTCAAGGTCTGCTTTGAAAACAGCAGGGTTGCCAAAACTAGCCCACGCAGCCTTCAAAGCAATGTACGACCAATTGTGCCTAGGTCTACCTTGTCGTCGATGGGGTGGTGTCGCTAAACAATAATTTGACGAAATAACCGAACATCTCATGACATCATTGCCGTGGGACCTAAGAAGGTGGCCAATCAATTTCAATTTCCTTGCTTCCAAGACTGCGCTGACTGTCCTTTGCGGACGGTGAGAGGAAGCTGCCTCTAGTACCCTGGCATTGGTCCGTGTTCTGTTTACGAAAGTTGGTGGAATCTTCAGAATTCTACGTAAACCTTTTTGTTGAAATGCATCTAGCCTTTTAAGATGGTTGGCATTGAGCTGAAGAGTTTCTAGCCCGTATGTTAATCTCGAATCAACGATAGACTCATACACTGCAAGTTTCCAGGCAATTGGACAGTTGCAAGTCCAGAATTTTTTGAATGAGGTTACGGCATCCATGGCCGAAGCGATCCTCCCGCTAATCTCCGTAGAAACACATGCATCCTTCGATAGTAGACAACCCAAATATTTAGCATGATTTACATTCTCAAGGCGTTCTCCATTTTGGAAAGAAATTTGCTTGTTACCGTTCATGCAAAGCACTTGACATTTTGAATGGTTGAATTTCAAATTATAATACGCTGACTCCTTCTCAATCAAAGAAAGAAACCGATGAGTGAGGTGAGAACCGGTAGTGATCAAAAGAGTGTCGTCAGCGTACAGAATGTCGCTATACCTGATATGAGGCAGCCGGTTGTTCAACAATTCAACTCCAATCACATCATCAACATCATGGAACAAGACAATCATCAATAATATAAAAAGAAAAGGGCTTAACGGACAACCTTGTCTAATTCCACTGCCCTGTGTATGAACAACTGACTTGCCCTGCATATCTTTGACAAAGAAGCGCGGATTCCTGTACATAGCTTGAATGGCGCCAAGCGTTTTCCCAGAAATGTTTAACCTACGAAGGGCTTCCAGTAATTTGGGCTGGTCAACACGGTCAAAAGCTTTTTCGAAATCCAATAGAGTAAATATTAAATTGGTTCCACTCATCTCGGCTTGGTCCTGCGCTCGTCTTGCCAAGAAAACAGCTTGTTGCGTACTGTGCGCTCTCCTAAATCCGAATTGGGTTTTCCAGACATAAGGATCAATCTTTGGGCGAAGTCTGTGTAAGACTAAGGCAGCAAAAAGCTTGTAGAATATACTGAGGAGACTGATTGGCCTATAATTATGCAAAAGTGCCGGGTTACCCTTTTTAAAAATAGAAGTGACACTAGCGAGCTCAAGATCGGATGGGAGAACGGACGTGTTCCAACAATGATTAACGATATCTAACACAAATTGTAAGTTTTCATCGTTGAACAACTTCAGCATGTCTGCAGTGATATCATCGGGGCCAGGAGCCTTGTTTTGCTTAGATTTAGCCAAAACAGACTTAAGCTCCCCCAAAGAAAAATCTGAATCGTCAAGGTTGAGATCATCAAAAATAATAGGTCGGGGGTTGATCTTAGAAGGACAAGGCTCCGGGCGGGACCATTGCACATTGGCAAGGTAATCGGCAGTCGCTGAAGCCTTTTCGGAAAAATCAATATATTCACCATGACGGTTTTTGAAACGGACCAAGCGGGGAACAAATTTCTTTCTGGCTGACCTAATGGACTTCCATCTGTCTTCGACGTACTGTGCGTTCTCAAAAGAATTAACCAAGTGGGTCACTTTATCTTTCCTTGCGGAGCGCCGCACCAGCTTCCTTGTTTCGATTTCAGCCTGCTTATCTCCTATGATACGGTATTGGCGCTTGAGTTCGATCAAACGCCACGTTTCGTCTGAAAGATATGATTTTCGCTGTTGGCGAGGCAAATGTGAAAAAGACTCTCTCGCAGAAGTCAAAATGTTGCTATTGAACTCACGCAGCCAAACTGAAGGATCTTCACCACTGTCGGACAAAGATCTGCAATCTCTCGAGATTGCCGAATTAAAATGCAAAATTTGTTCGGGCGATGGATTCTTGAACTTAAAGCGAGTATTTCCAGGCAATTTTTTGTTAGCTTTAAGCTTGACTAATAATGAAGTGACAACTAGGAAATGGTCAGAATCTGTCTGTGCATCAGGAAATGCCTCCACATTTTGAACACTATTTTTCCATCGCGACGGTGCAAGGCTGTAATCAATTTGGGCATATCTAGTTGCATCCCAGGGAGGTCCGCCAGTAGTGTTCGAAACCTCCGAATATGTACAAAGGCTTTTGGGATGTTTTTGGAAATGCGTATTCATAGCCCAGAAATCTTCAGATTTTAAAAAATCAACAAAAAGCTCCCGATTTTCAAGAGTGTTGGGGGATGCGCTGCTTAAAAAATCAAAGCCTCTGCCTAAGACATGGGGTCCTACCTGTGGACGGTCCTCATCTTGTACAAAATGCAATCTTGCATTGAAATCTCCGAAAATGAATCGGATCTCGGCATCAGGAATTCTTCGCAGGTTCATTCGCAAATTGTGATAAAATTGCTCTTTGTCACAAGATGGGCGACCGGAATGAGGCGCGTAAACTGAGAAAAGGTGAACTGGGTTTCCGTGGCACCTTAAAGATAACCTCGCAACTCGGCTATTTACAGCATCAAATTTCACCACAAAACGCCACATTTCAGGCGAAATGATAAATCCGATTCCTGCGAATTCTCTGACAGCATTTTCCACCAAAGGATTGCTGATTTCACTGGAAAATAAAAACCAGAAACCGTTATGCTCTTCGATGCTGCAATGATTGATATGGGTCTCCTGTAAGCACATAATATCTAAATGCTGTGCCATCATGGTTTTGATAAGGTTTTGCCTGTCAGTGATTTTGAGCCCTTGAACATTGCAGGAACCAATTTTCAAGGTCCTGCCATAGGGAAGCTTTTCGGCGAGGCTTTCCAATTTCCCCTGGAGTTGGTTTTTGATTTTCGGTGAAACAGCTTGGCGCTGCTGCAGCAGCAACTTGAGTTTGCGACGGCCATTCTGAAAGGTGATATGAGGTCTGACAGAAGGTTTATTCAGTCTCTGTCCTTGCGTTTCCCGAGTGGCTACAACTGGAGGTTGGGCCGCCACCAAGCCCAGCTTCCAAGGCGGAAGTTGTCTCTTGAAAACTCTGAAACATTGTCCATTCATTTGACGTCTCGATTTCATTCGTAACCTTCTAGCTGCATCTCTTTCAGGGGCACGTCTACCACGTTTTCTCCGCCTGTGGGGTGAAACCTTTCGTTCCCGCAGAGCCGGTAAGGTTCGCGGTAATCCCGGGTCGCCTCTAGAAGGCAGTTTCGAGGTAGCAAAATTTTCAAATTGATAGTTGGGGGTTGGATTGGGAGAAGGATTAGAAGCGATATAGAAGCGAAAGTCTTTGTCAAGACTAGAGTGAAGGTTCTTTTTCAGCGGCACCTTACCGGCTGCATTTCACTCACCAACGTTGTGCTCAGAATCGACCTTTTCATCCTCAGGATAGTCGTGAAATTTGACCAGCTTGACTTCGAAAGGTACTCTGATTCTGCGTTCCTCGGCAATGCCCTTGCCAGAGCTCTTCGTGTTGGGCTTTGAAGAGGAAGGAGCAACCGTGACTTTGTTCCATGCGGCCTCCCACCCTCGTAGGAAAATCTCAAACAGGTCTTTGTGAATGAAAACTTTGCTGATGCCCATCTCGATGTCTGTCTTCACTTTCACGATGATGAGGCCGGATGATGCTCTCAACTCACCAAATTTCCAGATTTTCTCCACTGTGTCACTTCCCAGGTTGTTGGACCCGATGATTTCTAATGCAGCTTTCAGCGGCAAACCCAGGACCCGATCATAGGTGCAAATCTGGATCCGTCCCTTGATCTTCACTTTACTACTCACCTCACCGTCAGCTGCCCAGTAAGAGATGCCCTGGTTGGTCTTGGAAAGTGTTGCCATGAAGGTTGCCAATCTATGTCGTTGCCAAGAGTTTCTGAAAGTGACAATGGAGATCGGGCTGAGCTTGTCAATCTGCGATTGGTGACTGATATCTAGAGCATACTGCGCAACTCCAGCTTGCATCAATGCCCATGAGATAACTCTATCTCTGTCCTCTGTCGAGCAGCCGTTCGGAATGTCAGTCCAACCAGTGAAAATGTATTGCATCGCGGCTTCCTTTCTCTGCATGGCGATGAGCTGGTGATTGTACCATGTCTGATTCTTCCACATCTTGTTAGCATCATTGAGAATGTATCTAATCTCCTCTTCAGCTGCAGTAAGTCTTTTCGCAACAGACTCTTCTGTGATCGAATCTGTCTGTTCTGTTTGGGTCTCTATGGATGTCCTGACTTTGTCAGGCGTTTTGACTCCGGATGGTTTGACTGGTGTAGATGCAGATTGCTCCATTTCTTTGGACCACCTTTTGGATCCCCACACTCTTTTCCCGGCGGTTGCATTCGGTGAGCTATTTTTTCCTGTTCCTTTTCCTTTCTTGTGCACTGGCTCTTGTTCTTTTTCGAGTATTGTGTGCAGAGATCTTTTTGTCGGAGCGTCTCGCTCCGAAACTGTTTCCGTTGCCATTGCAATGGCAAACCCCTCTCTACATCTAAATATAAATATATATATATATATATATATGGTTGTGATGAAAATACCTGCCCAACCAATGCATTTCTTGAATATGAGATGCCTCATTGGGTCGGTGTTAGGATTGTTTTCCCATCAGGTATGTGATTTGTCCGTGATTTGTTCCTTCGGCTAATTCTATACTATATCAGAAAAATGAGGTTACAAAATTACAAAATGTCTCTATTGACACGGCAAAGAACTCTTTGCGTCAGTGTCATCTTTATGAAGGAGCAACCATCAGTTTGGCATATTCACTTGGGTCCAGAGTTTGACGAAACTCTACTTGATCCTACCTGTTGCAAACAACTATTTTGAACGTAGAATCTACCTATCTAGTCAAAGCTCTGACGTTTGTTTGCAAAAGGTTGATAATGATCTTCCTACTGGAGACAATCGATTCGGATGTTTTTCATGATAGCTTTGAAAAATGGATAAAACCTGGTAAAACCCAAAAGAATGATGAAAGTTGGTGAAGCTGATTATTCTTAAGTCTTCATAAGCACAACCCAATCTCAACCCATATTAATATATCAAACACCTAGGGGTCCCACCTCAACCCACCAGTGACACTGAGGCACGAATCCAAGGGCGAAGGCTTAGGCACTGCTATCTGCACAGGACTGGCAGTGCCAGGCACCTGGTATTTCAGCCTGCGGTCGGAGGTGTCTAGGGGATGATGGCTTTCTAAGTTATCTAAGTTGAAATGTGAACACAAACGTTCTGGGATAGGCTGGTAGACTCACCCTACCCTTTTTGCAAGGTGTAGGTGCACATTTGCAATCTCCAAAAACCATCAAAAACCATCAAAAACCATCAAAAACCATCAAAAACCATCAAAAACCATCAAAAACCAGGAACCCTCCAAGACTCACCAACCCCAGGCTTTACCCCTTGATCCGGCGCCCCATTTTCAGCTCTTCCAACGTCACGTTCTCCGGAAACGCCCGGCGCGTCTTCCGCGACGCCGACGCTACGGCCCCACAGCCGCAGGGCCGCACGGTCAGCACCAGCTGCGCGCGCGGGCGCTGCGAGGCGTTGCCAGTGCCGCAGTGGAGCAGCCGGCCGTCATAGACCACCGCGGCGCCGGGGGGCAACAAGGCCACCTGAGGTTCTTGCATGAACATAGGGATTATATGGGGATATACTATGGTGATCAATGGTGACTATTTTCATCTATTTTCTGTTTAAGGAACCCACACTTGCCCTTTTTCCTTGGATTTCCTTGGTTAGTGATGGGGGGAGTAGGATGATGGAGGGTAGGTTCAAACCCGACGTTTCAACCTATAAATTAAATGACCATTATATAAATTAAATGGATTTGAATAGCTGAATCATAGGCGCCCCAGTTCGGTTGCAAATGGCCCTGCCTTGGAAGATGCAGTGTTGAGAAAGTGCGACTTGTCCACCTGAAAGTGAAGGTCACATCATAGAGAGATTGCCCAAAACTGCCATTGACAAAATCCAGCTTCAAGTTCAGTGTGTGGTGAATGTCATATGTATTGATATATCTTGGTGACGAATGACCGGGGGGCATTTCGCATCTTCATCTATGCCGCCCAGCCGCAGAAAATGTCCTTCTAGCATCGCTGTCAGGGCGATGCGTTTGGGGCAGAAATCGCCTTGGAGTGCTGACAGTTCAAACATCTCACAGAGCAGGAGTTCCTGATGTCAAAACAACAGGCTTTGGTGGTTCCATTCCCAGTTGCTGGGAGTCCAACACTTTCGGTCGTGCTGCAATCATACAGTCTCGCAAATGAATTTGCATAATCAGCAATATCCCTTCCCCCTGTAAATGCCCAGGATCGACTACTAAACCATACTTAATCAAGTCTTCAGGGCGGGTACATGCTACCATGTCTGCAAATCTTCAGGGGGCATCATAACCCCCACTTACTATAGTTATGAGATATGTTATAGTTATAAGTTATGAGCTATAAGTATCATAAACTATATTATATATTATATATATATAGGTATTGGAGTTATGGACCTACTTAGCTATCTCTAGGGATTCTCACTTTGTAGGCATGGCATCACGTATCTAGAATATGTGATATGTGTGAGTGTGATTGAGTGCGAGTATATGCTGAAAAGCACCGCAAAAGCTTGTTGGGTATTCACCCAACTACGCTTTAACTTCATCCGGAAAGGTTACTTAAGGGGAGCGGAGCCTACGCATGCGTGTCGCTGAAAACCCTAACAAATCAACCTTCAAATCAAGCACAACGCAAGGGCTTTCAGTGCAGCACTCATCTTCCCTTTTTGTCCCCGGCCAAGTCACGTGGGCCCCATCTCCCTCTCCACCCGTTGCAATGCCACGAAGGCCGTCACCAACGGCGGCGCTGCTGCCGCGTCCCCGGCGACGTCGCAGTGCAGCTGCTGGGGCACTGCGCCCGGCAGCGCCAGCAGCGCGGTGAATTCCCAGAGCTCCGCGGAGCCGCAGAGGGCGGTGAAGAGGGCACCAACGGGGCCTGCGGGAGGATAGTAACGGGCCTAACGGGGTAGTGGGGCTATGACTGTAAGCCGGTTACCAGTTAGTAACTAATATTAACTAATTATAGTCTATAATTTAGTAAGTGGGGGCAGTTCACACAGTTACAAACTGGATCATCATCGGTTAGTAACTGGTTAGTTGAGCTGGGGTTATAAATGGGAGAATCCACGAAATGGGGACTTATGCTCAAAGGGATTTGATTTTGACAACTTGCTAACTGGGATGATCCTCCAAGTGGGTTGAAGTGATCCCTGGGGGTGCTAGAAAATTAAATGGTGCCCCCAAAAATCCTGGGGTTCATCATCCGTTGACATGCGAAAATGTGTTATCCCAATTCGGGACACAGCCACCAACTCGGTTAAAGGAATTTAACTGGGACCTGAAAGGATGATGGATGGGATAGGTTGAGGTGACGCCTGAAGTAACTGTGTGTCTAGTAAGCGGGTTACGAGCTGAGTTACGAGTCTTCAGAATGGGAGATAGCCGGGACCTGCAGGGCTGGTGGATGGTCTAAGCAGCACTTGAAGGTTGGGAAGCTGAATCAAACCAATGAACCATGCAGAGCCTTGTGAAGCCATCATACAGAATCATGTATCAACTAGCTATGGGCCATGGGTCAGATGTTCATCCCTAAAAAAAGTGGTAGAACGAACCCCAAATTATTGATGAAGAGGACCAGCCAGTGGGATGCGTTGCCCCCAGCCTCCAAGCACCTCCTCCAGCGCCCGCTGCGTCACATCGTTGCGTGGCAGCTGCAGCTCCCAACGCGTCTGCGCGGCCGTGGCGCTGCTGCGCGTCTGCCGGATGTGCCGGGAGAAGTAGCGGTGCTTGAGGCCAGGGTCGGCCTTCCAAACAGTGGCATAAGTGGAGGTTTTTGCGGTCTGGGGAGGATCACCAGGATCACTAGGGAGATCTGATTCTGGATCACTTTTATGCAGCGGTGCATTTGGTGGATAGAATCGGAGGTTTTGGATGAGTAAGGGTCCTCATCCCCTCAAGTTCAAATCATTACATGCTTCAAAACAAGAACTGTTCTATCTGAAAAACCTCTCTTGGAAGGATTCAGGTTCCAGCAGGCGGATTGGCATGACCCGAAGGATGCCAAGCGTGTGACAATCAACCATGCCAACCTTATGGCGTCATGGAGGTCTCGCAAGCATATACCTGACTGGAGGGACCTGGGCAGATTCACCCACCTTGCTTCGCACATGCGGCTCACAGTGTTCCAAACCATCAACGGCATAATGGAGAAACAAATTGTCGTCCCACTATGTTTCCAAACATCCTGCAAGAGAGAACCATGAACTTACAAAAGGCCCAGGCCAACTTCCAAGCAAAACCTATATCAGGCTTGATATGTGGGTTTGTAGTTCAGACTGCATATAATATTGCCGATATGCATAGATCGGATAGGGGTAAACTAACCCCAAAAAGGGAAGGCTAGTCTACGGCCGAGGTCCTAAAAGCACGCCTCGACGGCTGCTCGCGCTTCGGCCAAATCTTTCAGCACGAAGTCGTACAGCTCCGCCGTGGTTTCTGAAGAAAGCACCGCCGGCACCATCGCCACGCCATTCCTTGGGTGGTCCGTTCACCTGCAACCCCACAAGACTCCATGGGTTTCTTTGGTTTCTGATACTTCCTAGCTATCTCCCCCCCACCCAACCAACCATCCGCTTTCAGCCTAGCTTCCTCACCAAGTCCTGCAATGGATCCTCCGAAACCTCCAAGGGTTCCCCTTCCCCCAGCAGCACGTCCTGCGCCTGCGCCTCCCTGGCTGTCACCCCCCAGGCGTCCCCATCAGACGCCTCGCTGGGAGGTGCCTCGGGCAGCGCGGCGGCGAAGGGAAGCAACGGCCCCGCCGAGGAAAGGCGATCTTCGGCCGGCCGCTGTTCGGCCGGCCGGGTGCGTTTCAAGGTCAGCTCCTGGTGGTGCAACTGATGACGGTGGCTGAAACACAGCTTGACAAGTTGGGTGTGCCGTGGCGTGCTGACACTTCTGAAAATATATGAAAACCTCGTTTGTTTTGGTTTTCCCTATGCCACGTTGATCCCACCCAGCTTCATTTGAGACACCAAAATCTCAGGTTCCAAAACCAACTAAAATGTTTCTAAAAATAAGCGTGTGTGCCACCCCCAAGCCCCATGGTAAATCGTCTCTATCCCAGAGAGGAGAGGGAAAAAGAATCGGGGCATCCCCCGTTTTCAAAGAAACCCAAATCTCATATGAAGTTGGTTGTATCTCCTATTATTCTCAATACATCTTCATCACCAAAAAATGATCCTATACCCCCATTTTCCACCATGTTCGGACGAACCCCAATATCATAGATTTGACGTGATTTTACCATTGTCATATTAAATCCCATATGTTATTCCATACAAAAAACACTATAGACACCCAGCTCCTTCTCCAAGGGCTCCTTCCTTCGCCTCACCCGCGCGAAACCCGGGGCTCCCAGTTGCAGCGTGGCCAGCAGCATCGCTGCGGCCGCTCCGACGCGGAGGCGCCGCCAGGGGAATGGCATGGAATTCCATGGAGGGGCTGGGTTCAAACCTGGTTGATGACGTTGATGTGGTAAATCCAATGATAAACCTGCGGTTTGGATCCATTTGCTAATATTCTTGAAGTGATTATTGGTAAGTCCCTGTATCATTTCGGGTCTGTCCATCTTCTGACCCCTCATTCTACTGCTGCGATTGCAGGACTGAAGCGGTCTTAGACTGCAGAGCGAGTCTATTCCATCCACATTTACCAGAAAAAATTGGTGTGATGGTCATTTGTTTGCCCTCTGACCTTGTTATCTGGCAATGGAATTTGTAGGCAATTTTCCTTGAAAACATGTGGATTTCTCCATGCACTCTGTCAACTCAGACCGTGCATCCTGGTCCAAAACACCTGCAGAAGCAAGTTCTTCACCGGCATCGACACACAGAAAGGAAGGGATTGCACCAGCTGAATCAGCCCTTAACTCAACCCATGCCGGTGGTCGCAAAAAAAATGTCCGGAAATATGGAAACTAAAACTTCAGATCTTGCTTAAAGGAACACCCATCTATGGAAAAAGCAACCGGACCTAACCATCTTCAACTTCGTAGTGAAGTTAACTCAAACCACTTGTGGCCACAGGACCAGGCCCTGCAAGGGCGCCTCACAGGCGAAGGCGACTGCCTGCACCAACAAGACCCCAGGATACCCCAGGTGTTGGAATGCCCCCTTACACAGTAGGAAAATGATCCAAAACCTCAAAGTTTCCCCTCCTTTCCTCCCTTGGCGAACCAAAAAAACATTTGAGAAATTTCATAGCTACGAAAAAATACGAAAAAATGATTCCTCTACTTACAGTTTCAACTTGCCCCTTCCTACCATTCACCAGGCGGCTCACCCTGAAAATCTAACAAAAAAACATCAAAAAACTAGGAATCGGAATTTCATGTTCATTTCTTAAATAAATCTTGAATCCATGGCCCTTGATCAGAGCTGGACCTCAAGCTCAACCACCCTTCTCCCACCTCAGCGGCGAGACCTGCTGTCGCGGCACCAGCTTGGCCGGCAGCACCCGCGGCACCGGCGGAGGTGCCCATTGGGCCACGATGGGACGGGAGGCCTGTTGCACCACCGGCTGTACCACCGGCTGCGCTGGCTGTGCGACAGGCACCGGCCGTGGTATCATCGGGTGGTGCGCTGGGGTCGGCGGATTGGATGGCCGCGCCCGACGCGCCACGGGCGCGTACATCTGCTGCATGGCCGCCACACGCACAGGGCTCACGGGCGAAGGCGCCCGCGGCACCGCGCTGTGAGTGACCTAGCTGGGGTTCAACAGGATCCTTTCAAGTTTGGAACTTCCAAAACGGAAGAAGGGGCAATGCCGAGAGATGCAACAGCTTACAACCTTCAAAACAGGAGTTGAATCATGGTCCCTGGTAAAACATGGTAAAAATAAAAATTGTAGAAATCCAAGAAAGATCATGACCTACTACAGCGCCCACCCCAGCTCCAACTGACTCACCTGTGAGCTTTGCGGCAGCAGCACTTTCGCCACCCTTGGCGACTCATAGGTGCGAGGCGAAGCCACAAATCTCACAGGGCTAGTGTTGGAGGCAACCCCCAGGGGGATGCAGGGCATGGGTCGTCCAGATCCACTCATGGCACCTCAGAGAAGTGACTTTGAATTGATTTCGAGATCTTTTGGTGTCAGGATGGAAAGAACATTGGAAAGATTCAGGGTCTTCTATCGATGGTGAATGATGAATCAAATAAATTTCATGTCCCAAACCTTGCAGAAGCAGCTGCACGTCCTCCATCCTTTGACAGCAAAAACTGGATTCTCAATGCATACAAGCTGAATTACAAATTACCAGCATGTTTTGCGTTGTTGTGATTTTGTTCATCTATCTCCGCACCCCCACCCTCCAGTAAACATTCCGAACTGTAGATCCCCATCCCGGAAATTGCACAACCTTAGCCCGTCGACCCAGCAAAACATTCACCAAAAGGTTTTTAGCCAAGTCATGATGGAAATGACCTAGAAATGGTCTAGTGTGGAAAACCAAACGATAAACCCACTTTTTGCGTCCTGTTTTTCATGGCACATGATTTTCCATCCAGCGATGGCTAGGGAAATGGCAATCTCCTTCCCCCGATATTAAATACCCCCAAAAAAAATGGATCCGTTCTGTTTGGTTGTTTGATACTGGTACTAGGGCGGACAAGCAATTGTATACACATATATGTGCGTGTGTGAATTTATTGATGTATCTATTTCTACATTGGCGTTCATATTCATATGCTCACGTATCACGGTTATTTATATTTAATATATTCATATGTATATTTATGTTCATATTATAATATATCATAACTAGCTTTATCTAGCACGACTCCATTGTCCACGCCATTCCCACGCCAAGACGCTGGTGGCCAGGGTAGCCATGGACGGAGAGACCCATTGGGGACTCGGTGCTCGCCGTGGAGGGCTGATGTACACGGCCCGACCTGGGAGAGCAGGATGGTTTACGTTCTGGTCATACAACAAACTATGGAAAATCACCATGCTTAATGGGTAAATCAACTATTTCTATGGCCATTTTTCAATAGCAACTGTTAGTTTACCAGAGGGTAGCGAGAGAAGCGGTTTCAGTTTGATCCGAAACACTGTTCCATCACCGTTCTTTTGCAGCAGACGTCGTGCCTTTTTGAGACGCACTCAAAATCAGAATTTGAACTTCCAATGTCCTGGTGACACATCCCATTGTAGCTCGTCCACAGTCCGACCATGTCCAGCTCGTTTCTCCAGTAGATTGCTTGCAGATCTTCATGACAGTAGCTGCAGCTTTGACACGCCCAACTCGCACGAGCTATTTCGGCCCGGATCAGCTATTTTGCGAATGACTGCATCATCAATCTGCACAAGAGCCCACGGGGAGTTTCTCCGCTCCTTCACCAAACCCCCTCCAACGGAGCTGAAGTTTCGGACCAAATAGTTGTTCAGCTTGTTCCAGCAAAGGTGCATCAGCCACCACCTTGGCATCAAAGGTGTTCGCCTGTGGACAATGATTGTCCACTTTTGTTGTGGCCTTTGTCGTGGTCCTTGACCCAGCGCCAGCAAGGCCGCCACATCGGGCATCAGCTATGGGTCCAGGTAGGCCACTCTGAACTCCTTGGAAGCCTCCATCAACTCCGCCAAGGCTGCACGTAGTGCGGGGTGGTCCTTTCCAGCGCCTGATGTAGCGGAAAGGGCTGGGCCCAGCGAACAAAGTGATCCATGTGATCCCTTCCCTCTAATATTCAGCCCAGACAATCTTTACGACCCATTTGAAGCTGGAGTTCTTTCGTGGATGATCACTACTCAGTAGCTGGCGAAGATGATTCATTTGACTTTCAGGGAAATACACCCCCGGATACCTTTTGTTTAGTGTTGCTGATTTTGGAGGATCAGTAGGGGAGGGATTACCAATTCATCATCAAACATTTACAATCATTTGCCTGGGTATGCTGTTGACTACTATGGCTAATATGCCAAACATGGCTCATCATGGCTTTCAAAAAAGTCCTGCACATGCACCATTTTCTTCCTGAAACTCCAACTCCACTTGAATATCTGGGAATACAACCCGTATTCCCAGAACAAACGCGAGGCGCCCCAATATGATGAAAATCGAATTTGTTAGAAAATGCCTGCAATAACCCTCATCCCTCCCTTCCCCATCCCTTAAGCCTCAAGATCCCCCTATCCCCCATGTTTCACCCCATCCCCGCCTCCCACGTGCCGCTGCACCCCGGCCGCAAAGTTCCGCAGCTCCAGTAGCTTCGGGGTCTTCAGGGCCGGTGCCGCCTGCGCAGGCGCGCGCGGCAGCGCCTTAAAGGACTGCGGCAGGTCCCAGAAGCTGCCGCAGGGCGGCTGAAACGCTGAAGCACCCAGGTGGCCTTGGGGATGGCGTTGGGGGGGCCAACAGTTCTGGCCGTGGAAAGGCAAGATTTTCCATGTTTCTTGAAGATTGGGATGAAATGCGCTTGGAAACTTATCATTTTTCAAAGACTTAAAAGGGCATGCCATGTGTTTGAGCAGTCCAAGTGGCCCTCCAACAGCTCAACATATCTTCGCACAGCTTCCACTGCTGCTGGCAACCCTACCTGCGGGTGGTATAATGAGGGTGCCATAATGTCCAACATTCCGTAGTGGTTTCCAGAGAAAGGGAAAATCACGGAAAATCATAGCCTCGGCGGAAGGCTTATGAACGGTGCTGGTGGGTGGCCCTTGCCGACTGGCTTGGCTCCCTTGAGGTCAATCATTTTGTGGACAGGTGGTCCAGCTGGAGCGGAAAGGTCTGGCTCTGGAAGACGTGAGACCGACTAAAAAAGGCAGATGCACCATACTAGCAAGGACAACTAACCTGCGACATGTCTGTTTTTTTCACTGCTGTTTACGATAGCCTGGGCAACTGCCCACTCAACCAGGTCAGATTAAAATGTTACTGTAGAACCATAATGTAATGCAAGCAAAGGCAATCCTACCTGCCCCTCAGCCGTGGCCCGACGCAACGTGGTGCGCAGGCGACGCACTCGGCAGGGCCAGGGCAGTGCGGGCCGACCCTCATGAACCTCTTGAAGGTGGATCAATGTGTCCTCAGCCGGTACGGGCTCAGGGCAGGACTACAAGAAAATGAGGAGGTTGCCGGGTTACCGAACCAAGACTTTGGAATTCAAGCAAGCGAAATGGTAAAATAAGCGCTCATGTCCCTATTTTGCGGAGACAACCGTTGATCGGGATGAGACGGGGTCCCACTTATAGAGAGGAGCAGGCACATCGCCCGAATGGTGCGGATGGTGGAAGAAGATGGAAGAAGTGTGTTGTGTGTCTCTTGGTGGACTTCCCCCTCAAGCCTGCACACCTACCCAGAAAATCCTAACAGAGCTTATTGACCACCCTTTCACTGTTGTCCAAATGCCCACCTCATGCAACTAACCATGAAAAAGAAACATCAAAAAAACTCCTGGAGTGCAGGCCAGGTATCAATGGCCCGAACTTGATACCACTCCTCAATCGCTACCCTGGTCTCACCCGCGCCACGCCAGCCTTTCTTCCCAAAATCATCTTGGCTCACAGGCATCCTTGGCCCAACAAAACTCGAAAACATCCCCAGTAAACCCATCCCCGTTTCTGCTGCATTAGCTATATACACAAATTCAGCAATTCAACAAGTCAGTACAAATCATCTAAACGGCAAATCCTTGAAAGCCAAATGACTCATCTCACCACAGTAATAATCCACAATTATATACTATATGTCTCATATAACTATATATATATATATATATATGTCAGTATCATATATCAAGCATTCTTCATGAGTCATTGGGATATTTCTTGGGACTGGCATATTCAAGGCATCCAATTGGTCAACGGCAGCAGTCTCTCTTCCACCTCTCGCGTCAGGCTCCGCACGCGCTCACGCCCCGCATGGCTTTCGGTGTCCTCGTGGTTGACCCGCAGGGGTTGACCCAGCTCCACCAGGACGCTGGAGCCGCGCTGGCAGTGGGCCTCCAGACCCAGGGCTGGGTATTCCATGTTATGCCCCAAAGCTAAGGTGGTAAACATAACTCAAACAAAGGAAATCTGTTAGATAAACTTAGCTATTGATATATCGAACTGATGGGGGGTTGGTTATATAAAGTTATAAACCAGCTTGCAACTGGGGGCACCACCATGTTGCAATTGGAAATGCCCTGTAAAAGGGAGTCTTTATGGGAATAGCATCCAAAAATGGTGATTTTGCACCTACAGCTTGGATTTAAAAAAGGATAACACGGCTATAGGCAACTCCTCTGGGGTGCCGCAACGTAGGTGCTACAGTTTGGCCCCGGACCTTTGTAAATAATCCCTTGACCCATAGAAGCACTAGAAGCCCAGGGCCTCGAAGGCCAAATGCATCGGCACCAGCCAAAGATCGCCACACTGCATGGCGATGCGCGCAGCACCTGTGTGCACCTTTCCTGCACTGGCGCTTACCCATCAGAAAAACCTCCAAAAACAATCTGCTCATTTGGACAGTACGTATCCCAACTTGGGTTTGGGGGTGACCAAGCATTGCCCTCGGTTTTTAAAATATGACGCACACAAACCCAGTTGAAACAACCCCAACCACCACTTGGCATCATCAGGTATTAAACATTCAATGAAATAGGTGTATGCCTCAAAATAGCCGATTGAAAATTGCGAAAGATACTAACCACAAAAACAAGTTGCTACATTGGAAGAAAAAAAGGAAACCACCAGAATAAACCAAGTCGCGAATATGCGGATGCATCTCCCTTGCACCACCCACGGCCACCCACACAGCGGCATCCTTTCGCAGGGTCTGCACCACATGATCAAAGGCCATTCCCTGGGTGACGTGGAGGCACCGTTCCACGGCATTGGTGTACCTCGATGTGTTGATGGCATGGTCCCACTATGTCCCACTGATGCGGCCAGAAGCCTGGCATGAATATGACTAAAGGATACTAAAGGCCCCCAAATCTTGGATGCGCGGGGTAACAGCATAGTTGCCTTTTTCATCTCATACTTCTCTTAGTTCCTTCCTTTGAAAACAAAACGGACGGAGAATTCCTGGTGTACCTTCCTACCCTTTCGATCACATGATATCAAAAGTTTCAGCTGCAATGGCAGTTGGTCAAGTTGCTCGAACCAGTTTTGCGTCAAGCAGTAGCACCAGGGGCACAAATGCTGCACCAACAGCCGGTCCAGCAGCCCTGTGGGGTGGTTGGAGCAGAAAATCAAGCGCCGCCCGAGTTTCCCTTCCAGCACTCCGCAGGGGTCCGAGATGCTCACAGACTTGAAGTAGTATCGGAAGAGGAGGAAACTCGCCTGAAACTGCCATGGCTGGCCAAACAAGAACACCAAACACCAGCTATCAGGCTATCACCTGCTCAAAAATGAGTGTCTCCTTAATGAGCTTCTGGCTCAACACATCTTGGTCCTACTGGTCACTTCTCAGTATATAACTTATCGGTGGTATACATATATATATATATATGTATATATATATACATATGTGTGTGATACAAACCCAGAGTAACGTTACCACCGCGGCTCACACTGGTCATCTGTTGGGGATCCAGGTAAGCCCAGGGCACCAGGCGTTGGTACCAGATCCAGGGCTGCAGGGTGTCCAGGTTGCGCTCACACAGCCAGCAGCAAAGCTCCAAGGGGAAAAGCACCGCCACCACCAGGAGATCGACCACCTGGATTTGGTATACCCTGTGTTTGTAATGGTGAGAATCATGACCATCCGACCATCCATTGGATTTTGGGGGCCATTCTCTCAGACAGACCCAACTAAAGGAAACCAGATAGAATCACTCCAAAACCATGGCAAAACCAGTTCGGAAAATCCATAATGACCATAAGGAATCCAGGGAAACCATGATTGTTTACCCCAGCCATAGGATTCCTTCCACCAATTCTGGCTTAAGTTGAAACTGTAAGTCTTTTGGTATCCTCAGTATGGTTCCTCTTTTAACCACTAGTCCTAATTTATCATGGCCTTTAGCAGCTCTAACCACCGGATCCTACAGGTGGCCCATTGTCGCCTGCAGTTTCCTCCAGCTTTGCCACAGAATTTGGCACTTCCGCCAGGGACTGTACTGCTCCGACGGCCGTGGCGATGGCCGGGCCGCCATCACCCAAAACGCTGGCGTGGCGAAAAAAGCGGCAAAATGGAAAACGGAATCCATGCGACTTGGCACAACCCTTAGAGCCTTAGAGCCTGAAGGTTTCCAATTAATAATGGTTAATAATGGTTAATAAACTAGAGCCTTAGAGCCTTAGAGCCTTAGAGCCTTAGAGCCTTCAGTGAAACTTCACAAATGAAGAGTCACTTCAACCACATTTCATCACCCAAACCCCTCTTCTCAAGCCCGAGGAGAACCGGCAGAATGTGTGTCCCAGGCACCCGGACCCCTGGGGCTGTTTTGCGGTGAGAGGGCCCTGATGCAGCTGGGATCAAGTCAACAACCACACACGTCCGGTTGCAGCTATAACTAACTTCACTTCCATTAAAGGTTGGATAAGTATGAATGAGGAGACTTGTTGATCTTGTTAGAAACAGGGGTTGGTTTAAATGTCCTAGCCAAACATCACCCAACTGTTCAGGATATAATCTCCAACAAATATTTGACATTTACCAACCCCTGAGAAACTATTGCCTATCCTTCCCATGACTTTGAGGGTCCTGGGCTCTTTCGCTCCAAGTGCAACCATCCCAATCCCTTGGTCGACCTTGGGCCTCGCGAAGAAAGAATTCCACGGAAAAAAGCTGAGGAAAGTATTGAATACATACATACATATATATATATATGTGTATGTATATATATATATATATCCATATATCCATATATCCATATATACATTATAATCATAATAACAATCATCATCATAATCATAGTAATAGCCATCCCGCCTCGGCAACGTCACGCGGCTCCCCAGTTGCGCGCCGGCCAGTTGCGCCAGGGACGCCTGGACAGGTCCGGGGACGGCCACGGTCATGGACCTACGAAATGGGGCACTTTCGGTTTTGTATAACATATATATATATAAGTAGAAGTAATAATGATAATAAAAATTATTATTAATATTATTATTGTTATTTTATTATTATTACTGTTATTAATATTATTATTGGGATTTTATTATTATTTATATATATATATATACACATACAGTATATACACATACATACATTACCATTTCCATTGCCATTACCATTACCGTTACCATTACATGGCATTTCATTGCATTACATACGTACATACGTACATATGTTACATTACATTTACATTTGCATGTACATTTACCATATTTTACCATTACCACAACCATTACCATTTTAATTACCATACATTACATGACATAAATATATATATACATAATACATATACACATGTTTTCAGCAATCCGTTTTTGGGGCTTTGGGTATACCCGCTTGAACTGTCCCTGTGACTGGAAACCCAAAAATGAACAAATCCGAGACTGTAGCCATTCTTCAATAACTGAAAATCAGCTGAGTTGAGTGGAGAAGGACCCACCCTGTGTTTGGAGGGTGGCTGTTTGCTAAAGAAATGGAGGGTCACCTAGGGCAACATCAATCAACAAGAGGCACCACCGCAGCAGTCCAATCTCAGGGTCATCTCTTGAGGGCCCCAGCTTGCGCCACGGGCGACGCCACCCGCATGGAACCTGCGGCAACTTCGCGTGAAACAAAATGTTCCATCATGAAACCACCTAAGGAATGGGTCCGGAAAATGGTTTACGGTTTGACCATTAGAAATTTCTCCGAGCTCAGAGGGATGTACCACTTTCAGCCTTGGAATTCTCAAGTTCTTGCGCCTTTGAATTGTGCACGCCAAATTGTAATGCCATCCGATGCACAGCTCGCCACCAGTTTCTGAAGGCTGAATCATCTGAATATTTGTGCATCCTTCACTTCCAGCCAGTGGACCCCGTCACCTCCTGCATCTGCCACCCGTCGGGGGGAGAAGGTAAAACCATGACCACCTCAGTCAAGATCGGCTGGAACCCTCGGTGGTGCCACATTCCTTGCCACACCCCAACTTCATGCACACCGAGTTCACAGCTTGGCACCAGCACGGAGGCCCCTTTTTTGGTCACACACCGCTGCAAGGGTCCCAGATTGGGCCACCCATCTGTTGCACGCATCAGGGCAGCTCGGACACGGCGGAGTAGATGTTCCGCAGCAGCGCGTTGGCCGCCACATCGTTCATCCTTTCCTCACCCGTCCTCGCACGGGGCCGAGCCCCGTTGGGAGCATCCCTTGGCGCTGGAGGGGCAGCGGCGCGTTGACGCGACACTTCGGCCCAAAGCGCCTGAAGCAGAGCTCACAAGCACGAGGAAAGGCATCGGCCACCCGGTTGGAAGTTCAATGACTCACTGACTGACATGCACAAAGAGACTATTGGAATGTTGCGAATCACGCCAAAATGGTTGGAACACCCGACCCATGGGCCAACTCAAAGGAGGCTTACAAGACAACCTCACTGGCCTGTAGGTCAGAGCAGAACTGCTGTTGCTGACCTCGACAGCGGTTTGCCGGTGGGTTTCCAACCCTCTCCCAGCCAAGAAAAGGACACATCAACCTGCCACCCTTTGTTCTCGACCAAACCCAGCTTTTTCCACAGCAACCCTGTCGCATGCAAGGTGAAAAAGAGACACAAATGGCAGCTCTCACCCCAAGACAAAATGCACCCCTTCGGAATGCCCCCCCGAATAAACATCTTAACTTTCGATCGGCATCTATGTTTCAATGCTTTTGCCACTCTCATCCCACTGCAATTTGTGCATCATGGGTCACTTTCTCGATAAAAATCCTGGCAGTTGTTTGATTCTGTTAGATGTTGCTAGCAGACGTACCCCCTATTCTCCAAGGGATTCTTGGTGAAAATTTCCAAGTTTCTCTACGGAATTATGTCACATGTTCCATTTGATTTCCAGCTGTTTGCCAGGTCCATCCCCGTTCTGGCCTGAAAAACGCGACTGTAGTGAGGCACACTCTCCATCAACGAGAATCACATCACAAAAAAATAAAAATAATTGATGACAAAGCCACGCAATCGCACAAATAGAAACAATAATTACTGTAACTGTAAATTCTTTGTTCTATCTTGCCCATCGACGTTTCCATCCTTCAGCCCGAGGGAAATCAAAAAAATGAACAGCATTGCTAAAACACACGTTGATTTACCCAGTCACAGAGCCAATAAAAATGGCATCCTTCAACCTATTTGAAGGATCATCCCACTCCCAATTGGTGAAATCTCAGTTGTAAGCCATGTCCATATGGGAGAAAACATCCAACCTGTCCAGCCGATCAAGGCCAGGCGTCTCTGAGAGCTGCGAATCAGTTCCTCCAGGTGTTTCACGTGCGCGCCACAGCTCCGCTCCGCCGCGCTGTGCCGCTCTTGGCTGTCCAGCTCCAGCGCGGAGAAGGCGGAGGAGAGGCGCTGCAGCTCCCGGCCCTGGCGATGCCTCGGAGACTCGAGCGGTAGACATGTATTCCATAGATAGCTGGTCAAGTTTCATCTATAGATACATAAGTGGTTTGGAATCCAACATCTATATATATATATATAAATAGTTAAAAATACATATGCGTATATGCATGTACCAGGAGCTATCCCAAAACTAGGTGCCCCCAGTCCCTCATGGTATGCCCCAACCAGGAATCAACAGGAGTACTATGTCATCTTGGACAACCAAATTGTCTGCAAAGATCAATTACGATTCAGTCACCACTGCCTGAAACATCCCAGCACCGACCATATCACACTGGTTCCACCCCCCAAATCAATAAACCGGCTGGATATGCTGGATTATATAACTATGGTTCAGCCACTCTCATGGGGGGTTAACCCTTCAATAGCCCACAGTTGACATGTCATGAAAATGTTGGACCACCAGCCCCTGACATGACCAAGAATCAGCTCCTCTTCGATACCAGCTACTAGGCTGGGGCTCTTTTGTGCAGTGCACGTCTGTGATGCCACTTCACCTTGGAACTTTCGGCTGCTCGGACACTTCGAGAATCCAACAAACATTCAAATATCTTCCAATATGTTTCAATATTTTCCCAGATCAAAGCCATAGTTTCCCCATGTTTTTCCATAAAAACCCCATGAAAGCCATGGCATTGGCCAACGGGGCGCTTCGCAGCGTGCGCAGCTCTGCCTCCGCCGCGTCCCGCGCGCAGCTGGCAGCCGCCAGCTGGCTGCAGAGGGACTCCACCTGGCCATGGTAAACTAACGTAGCTATGGAAAATCACCATCTTTAGTAGGTAAATCGGAAAAAATTGTCTATAAACAATGGATTTTCGATAGCTATGTTGGATGATTAATATAGTAGGATATAAATGGGTTCATGGGATAATGATGGGAAAATAATGGAAAATATGGGAACATATGTGACATTTAATGGAAAATATAGGGTAAGAATATGGGATCGGAAGAGGTTATATTCAGGATTTGGAAGGAGTTGTGCTTCCAGGGGTTGCTGGAATTAACTTATGCTTTAGTTCAACCCTTTGACATGCAGATAATAATAGTGGGATAATAATAGAAACTTATGATTATGGGATAACTATCATGCCTATGTGTTACATATATATATATACCTTTATATAGTATTTTTCGATGAAAAAAAACATCTAATACCTATACTGTAGACAGATAGATAGATTAGGTTAGATTGGATCAGATCAGATCAGATCAGATCAGATTAGATAGATAGGTAGATAAGTAGATAGGGGGGAAGATAGACATGTACAAAATGGATCTACTTCTCTATCAACTTCCTCGGATTACCTACTTATCCACTTATCTATCCATTCATCCATGAAAATTACATGCATTCGCGTGATCAAAATGGATACTATATGTGCGTATATAAATTGATATATATATATATATACACGTAAATATATGTTGGATTGAGTCACAACTTCTTCAAAGGATAAATCTCAAGGCCTGCTGAAGCAGCTGCGCTTCGCGAGCCTCCAGCGTTTCGTGGTTCATGAGGCGAATCGCGATGATGATGATGATGATGATGATGATGATGACGACGATGACGATGACGATGACGATGACGACGACTTTGATGATTAGGTTGTCAACTTACAACTATCATCACTGTTGATTAGTTGCTGCTATTGTTACTTTTAACTTGTAACTAGTGTCGTTGTCATTATTATTATTGTTATTATTACATTTATCTATTCATTCATTCATTCATTCATTTATTTATGTATTTATTTATTTATTTATTTTATTTTATGTTCATTTATTTATTTATGTCTTTATCGATTTATTCATTTATCTATTCATTTATTTATCTATATATTTGTGATGTTTGCTATCGCGACTGCGATAGCTGCTATTTCGGATTCGATTGTGTAGAATTGTGATTTGATTCTGATGTGGGTTCTGATATGAATCATGAGGCGGAGAATGATTTAGATGATTACGGATGCATGGCTGGGAAATATGGGTCCATCACTTACGACAGCTGCAAAGTCCAACAAGCAAAGACCAATAGCAGCCTCCAGTACAAGCGCACCTTTTGAGCCTCTGGGATCTGCAAATGCCCGAAAAGCCTTGTGAAACTTATACATTGGCCATTGCATGATTTGACTGTCATCAGCCTTCGTCCAGTTGGACCAGTTGAGGGGAGCCTTGCACGCCTTCCACTGATGTTTGAAAGGCAACCTATGGCCCAAATTCTTTGTACATCACCATGGGGTATTCCCATGATCCACAGAACGTCATAAACTCAGCCCAGGATGGCCACCAAGGCATCATCATCGATATCACTCTCAGCCTCCGATGGCTCCTCAGATTCCAACCCCGCCATGGCTATCACCGTGGGCCCCGGCCGCGCCGACCCCGGCGCGGACGTCCGGGCCGATGCCGTTGCCAGTGCCGCCCCTGGCGCTCCTGCCGGTGTCGCCACTGCCGAAGCCACGGGCTGATGCACCGTGGCGTCAGCTTTTGGCCGGCCGCCCACAGCATCGGCCAGGGCGTCCCACCCTACTGAGGCCGCAGAGGCACGGCGCTCCGACAGATCTGCGGAGGCCTCAGAAGGTGCCATGGAGGATCGGCGCGCAGCCTCCGGGTCCACAGCTTCGGGATCCACGGATTCCGCCCGAGATGCAACCTGAAGTTCCTGACCCTCATTGGTTTGTGACAGCTCGGCGTCGCGACTTTCCAGCTCATGCGCCTTGTGCGCCACAGCCACAGGGAAGTGAGCAGCGGCTGGTGGAGCTTCAGGATGGGCGGCAGGCGCTTGGGACAGGTGGTGATGGTCAGCTGGTGGGCCCTGGATCACTGAGCCATGCTTCGATGAGGGTTCCAGCGCCTCGTGCTTCACAAAGCCCTGCGAAATGAGTTCCTCCATGGAGCGCTGCAAGGTGCATCGCCTTGGGTGATGAAAGGTTAAGAGCTCGGGAGCGATTAACGGGTACTGTGCGATGAAGAAGAATGAAGATCGGCAAACTAAAAGCCAAGAAAATATAGAAAAATGCCAAATGACCTGCAAATAATGCCCGTCCCACATCTATTCAATGGGAAATCCAGGATCCTAAAATGGAGGTACTGTACCATATAAGGCCATATTTTGTGGGGATATTCCCTTACATAGGCCTTACATAGGCCTTATACATGGTAGGTACCTCCAATTTAGGTTCCTGAAATGGCCATTGATCTATGCGTTAGTTTTCTGGAGGGCGTTCGTTCGAGAAAAATGACACCGAAGTTGGTAACACTCCAATCTTTAAAATGACAAAAAATCTTGCACTCGATGCAGAGGATGCCAATAGATTTGTGGAGAGAAACCTTAAAAGACAAATGTTTTCTGGCCTTTGCATCGAAATCCTCTGTTTCACCAGTTGTTATCTTGCAATCTGTTTCAACGGTCTCAAATCTCATGCATCAGAATCTCGGCTGCTTTTCAGTCCTGATATAGAGGGGTGCCTCTGGGCCCAACTTTGACCAAGGCCAGGTCCAACCCCACCTAAAAGGTCAATCTTTAGTTCCTTCGCATCAACAAATGGTCATGATTTTTCCAAGGGCTATCACGTTGTTTGGAAACTCTTAGGCCACCCATTTTTAATGGATGGTCAATGGATATAACGACTGGGCAGAGGACCCACTCTTTCAGCCCAGGCAACTTCCAGAGCAGGTGTAGCGCCTCCTTCATGACATGCCTTTGACACCGTTCCGCCATGCGTGCCAGTAGGGAGGCCTTCAGAAGCACCAGGGGCAGCGCTGCCTCAGCACCCGGGCGGGCATGAGCCTGTCGGATGGTAGGCGGTGGTGAAAAGTGGGGTTTCCAGGTTTCCCCAGGTATTCAAGGCTTATGAAAAATTGCATGGCATGAAGTAGTGTAAACTTGTGCATTGATATTAACATTCAAATGGCCAAGAACCAGTGACTCTGTGGGTTTGGGAGTCCCTCACTTTGGCCCAATACCCATGTGGTGCACTCTGACAGTTTGGTTTCATCTTGGTGGTTTTTTGTGGACGTAAATTCATCTGCCAGTGGCTTCTTTGACTGAACCTTCAGCCCAACACAACTTCACCATGGATCATTTTGGACTGTTTTTTGGCGCGACCTTTGGCTCGATCAAATAGTCCAGCTTTTCTCTCCCAATTTGTATCCTTCGGTACTCTAACATGGCTAGCTGGAAATCCCGTAGATGCGGAGGTGTTCATAGGAAAATCATCTATCAATGGTGGATTTTCCATCGCCATGTCTCATTACCGGAGGGCATTGTATTAATACAAATAATTCAATGCTTCTCCTGTTTTTTGGTATCTTCATCTTTCAACGTTGGACCTGAAGCCTCGTTGCTGGCTGCATGTTGACAAGACTGGCGTTGTCCCACAGGATGGCGGCCAACTTGATGACCTAGGCAGCGCAGCCGGTGGTGTCTAAGTCTAATCTCGACTCTCTGTCGTCCTCTGAGCCAAGTAAGAAGGATATGGTCTTCGTACATAGTCATCATAAATTGCCTTGTGAAAATCTGGGAAACCTCCAACCTACCACAGCCTCCAGCCCAAAGGTGCCTCATCAATGCGAGCTTGGTCTTCGCAAAGCCTTAGTGTAAGCATGAAATTCTCCACTAGGCTTGGGACGTCATTCGGATTCTTTTTCATTTGGGCAAAGTATGAAAACTCTGGAAAAGGCACTCCGGCAAACGAAGCTTGAAAACAAAAACACCCATATACAGTAAGCTAGAGACCCCCTTTTCCTGCAGTAAAATAACACGTAAAATGGCTAGATCTTCCAATCTTGATTACCCAGAGCTCTTGCCAATTTCACCCAGTTTCGACTTCACAAAGTCGTCATCACTTTGAAATCCATGGGATTTCTTGGGCGAGCCTTCGAGCATCCCATAGCCATAGCCATGGCCTGCGAGCTCAGATCGCAGTATCTCAGTGGCTCCATGGTGCGCACGGAACTGGGGCGTGGCCTCCAATGGCGACAGCGATGGGCTGCGCTCGGGGCTGCAGGAGCCCAAGGGATGGAGCGGATGGCGACCCTTGCCATCCAACTCGGCTTGGACATTTCCTGGGCATTTTGAAAGTGGGATTCACTGCTAGTAACACACACCATGGGTTAGGACACCTCGAGAATTGACCTAAAGGATATTCTTCGAGTCAAATCAAACTTTTGCGCCCAAATTTGGGATGTGTACTAGTCGATTTGCTACATGGTGCTTCGACTGTGACCAAAAATATGGGCATAGGATCAAGTCTAATCATAATCACTGATCACCAGGACGCATGCGTTTATGGCAGGGAAAAAATCCTCCAAGTCGCCACATCATTTACCTTTCATCTTTGACTCCCAAGGGTCGGAGGGCGTGCACCACTTTGGATTGCCGTTCCTCAAACTGCTTCCGCCGTGCGAAGTTCTCCCAACGCCGCAGGGAGTAGCGAAGCTGCAGGGCCAATATGGAGGACAAGGTCTGGAAACCCAGCTGCAAATTCTCCTCCACAGCCTTGGTGGTGAAAGGAGCACCAAGGTTTAGGTTCACTTTAGAGTTTCACGTTCCAAATCAAGGACAAAGGCATTTGTGCAGGTAGGACCCAGCTTCCAAGTCACATGGTGTCGTCTCTGGTATGTTTTTGTCTTGGCACGGCAAGTCAATCCTTTCCCAAATGCAATGGCCCAAACCGAGAATGGAGAGATAACAAACAAAGAAACACCAAGCCATAAAAACATTGGCCCCTTCCAATAAATTGAAGCAGCAGAAGAAGAAGAAGAATCATCATCATCATCATCACAGTACTAACCATCATCACAGACCAACCATAATCCTAGCCCACCCATGGAAAAAATACCTGTACATAACACAATAACATCAAAATAGGTGGTAAATGGTTCATCCCCAAAAGATCAAAGGTGACTTGATCAAAATATCTGAACTATTTCAAGCCCTTGTTACCCTTTTTGCTGGGACTAGATGACTAGATGTACAACAGCTGTTGATCCAGCATCAAAATCAACACGTCCCCAATAAACCGCTCCAAACAACGCGAGCGCGTCGGCTGCGGGAGGATTGGGGCGGAGCTCTGAGTGGCTCCACCGGGGGCTCCACCAGTGGCTCCAGTGGCTCCACTGGCTCCGGCTCATGCGAAGCCATGGCAGTGCGAGGCTCCGCCACGTCCAACTGGGCCTGCTTTCCAGGGCCACCCATGGGTTACTGGTTTTCTTGGGGAAAAAAGGATGGAAAGTTGTTGGACAAATTGAGCAATGTCCTTCGAAAATCTGGACATTGAGGATTTGTCAAGGCCTAGCCCCCCACCTGAGCACTGCCAACCTTCAGCGCATGTTCGGCCAGTTGCAAGAAAGCGATTTCCAGTTGTCGGCGGCCATAGGAGTGGCAGAATTTCTGCAGTTGAATTGCCAGGTAGGAATAGTTCTTCTCCATATGACAATCACCTTTTCACAGTGTCACATCTGGGTGAAATTTTCTAAACGTGGCAGCGGAAAATCATCATCTAAATCATCATCTAAACAATTTCGAATTAAATATGCCATGTCTTCTACTGAAGGGATCTGAAGGCTGTGGGAAAAACCATCTTCCCAAAATCCTTCATTTGGCAATGGATGCCTGGAACCGGTGGTTTTTTCCCTGTGCATTTCAGCGGTGGAAGTAGAGAGAGAAAGATTTTGAAGAAAAAGGAAAAAACAATGGAAAACAAGGAAAATGAAGCAAGAAACCATAAGAAACCATTTATATCCATATTTATACCATTTATATATTTGGAGACCACTTATACCACTTCATGGTGGATTTGTTGTTTCCCACGTTTCACAACTCACCACTTGCCAACACCTTCTGGTCCTCAGGGGTCTGCAGCAGGCCACACAGCAACCATGGCAAAAAAATAGGCGGCTCGTGCGGCTGCGAAGTTGTTTTTCCGGGTGATGGCTGAATCATCGAGCTGCTGGTTAGATCCCATGTCAAGTTGGGTCATTCCAGGGCGGATTGAAAACAACTATATTTGAAACACTCATTAAAACTCAATTGCGCTCATGGCATTCCCTGCTGAAAACGACTTAAGCAAACTCATGCCAAGTCAAGCTTGAGGGGGTTACGGGGGTCACCTTCATGTGCTTGGAAACTGGCGCACAGAGACCATCTGATGTACCAGTGGGAATGAGTCCGTAAAGATCCAGTGGGGCAGCAGGATCGCAACAAAGAAATGTTTCAAAACACGTCGCTGCGCAGGATATGGACGGAGCAGGAAAACACATCTCGCAAACGGCGGGTCCCGGAATTGGATGCGAAAATCTGCTGGGTTTTTCTGTAGATGTTCTACCTGAGACCCACCCAATGAGTGGAGGAAACAACTTTTCCAGTAGCACATCGCCCCCTTCGGATCAACCTGAAAGTTGCGCTTCAATTCCAGCAGCTCAGCGCGCAGAAGCTCTGCCTGGTTCCAGAAATCGCCAAGTCTCTGGGAATCGTCCCATTTCGATGGTTGAAAACTAACCAAGCACCAGGAGGATGGATCAAAATCATCAATCAATTCCCTAAAATGCCTGGTTTTTTAATATTGTTTATGGATACTATGCATTCATGGGCAGCAAATGAATCATCATGATTCCATGATGATCATCCAAAGATACGCCCCAGCCCCCGCTGGATCAGCTCAACCAGCAAACTCTTCATCTTCGTGTTTGCTGGTTGAATCACTGTTGAATCACTGTTGAATCACTGTTGAATCACTTGAGTCAACCTCACTTACCTCACTTTTTCATGTGGCGAAGCCAATAATGAGCCATTCCCAAGAGGTCTATTGGGTCATGGCTATAGCCATGGCCATTACTGCTTCATCCCCATGGCGGCAACCCCGAACCTCGGGCCGATGGCGATCGTTCACCTCATCCTGGGAGGCGATCGTCACCCAAGCCACAGACTTTTTTTTTCGCCTGAAATTCTCCAAAACAACATGAGGATTCACGGATTCAAAAAAAATCCAGTACTGTACAGTACATGACTGAAAAATCCACATGATGACATGGGACCGATGGGACATCCCTTCAGCTGGGGGAAATTCGGGTAGCCAGTCCTGGGGCGCGGAACCTGGGCTTCCAGGGGATGGGACTTTAGAGGACACCTGGGCGCGGAAATGGTCGGGAAAACTATGGAAAACAATGGAAAACCATGGAAAACCCAAGGAAATTTGGAGATTCCATCAGTTTTTTGTTTCGTCAAATGAGCAACCAGATTTTGAGATTTGAAGCGGCTAAAATTAGGGTTTAACCAGCTTTAAGTGACAAGAAATGTTGTATGATTATCCAGGTGAAATCGGAAATGATCAACAAGGTGATATAATCAAGATTTTACGGAAATTAAATACAAGAGTTTGGATTTCATGGAAAAGATTGATTTTCCTGACGATGAAAAATGCCCATTCACATCCATGTATAAATAATTGCCTGTCAACAGAATTGTGTTCTCCAGTGCAAGGATAGAGGCCATAAATCCAAACAGTTTCCTCTTTTAAATAGGACCAGCTTTGGCTTCCCTGTGCCATGCAGCGGACACTGGTCGGATGGCACCAGAATTTCGGCTCTGCTTCAGCAAAGTCGCTGAAGTCTCTGAAGGTGAGATGTAGCTGGTGATGGGCTGCTGCAGATTGATGTGAACCACATCCTTTGCGTAGCCGACTCTCTCGGAGACGTGGCAATTCACTGGACCAAAAATCTTCAAATCCCATGGTTTGATGAGGTTACCATGGTAGATCACCATACGAAAACATGTTCAGGCAGAGAGCATCTGAAATGCTATTGTACTTGTGTTTATCTAGATTCCATCCCCGCGCATTATGGTTTCAGGATCCAATTGTGATTAAATACCACCTCTTTCCTCTCATGCCTATATCATATTATATATATATATATAAATATCTATTTATTTGTTTATTTAAAAATTGAAAAAATCTATGTGTGTGTGTGTACATCTCTTTGTTAAAAAAACGGTGTGTGCATGTGTGTGTGTGTGCGTGTGAGCCAAGAAACCATCCATTCTTTGATGTCAACAATATTGAATCACATTGACCCATGTGCAGCAGATCCTCTCCCCCAGGGGAGGAGAAAAAACCCTTCTATGGGTCAAAATGATTGACTCTCAACTTGTTTGAATTATTTCAGCTTGTGAACCCATTTATATAAACATCCACCTTATAGCACCCCCTCAAAAAATAGAGATGTAATTGCCTATTTCACTACTATTGTGGTAGGACCTTACTCTTCTATCTCGGGGGCTTGCTATACCTGATGAAGTCATCTCATATTCAGTTCCCACCTGCGTCGGTGATGAAGCCAGGATCTGGCGTGCCACACGGTGGACACCAGCTGGAGAGGGAACTCCTCGCTTTTCTCAACCCATCCAAAAAAAAAGGTACCCGAAATGGCCATCTTGACATAGCCATAGAAATCCTAGAAAATCACCATGTTCTTATTGGTCAATCAGCCTACACATGCCAAAATGTTCCAGACATCTTTGTTACTGAAGGATTTGAAGGGTAGCTGGGTCAATTTTTTCCTGGTGAAACCATCCAAGTTTGGGGTGAAACCTCCAGCTGCAAACCATGGGTCACTGTCTACCTGCAATCGGCCCTTCCAAGTCCTGGTGTTGGTGTATCCAACGCTCGTGATGGAGTGGCGTGAGTCTTGTGGGGAGTTCCTGAGTCGCAACCGCGCCCTGGTACGGACTCATGGGTCACTTGGACATCTCTTTTTCGACTTCGATGACGGAAAAAATGCATGTGGGGTTTCTCCAAGAGATTCATGGTCAAAGAGTCCCAGGAGCCTGATCCCTTACGGTCTGTCACACATCATTTTTTGTTGCAATGTCGATCCTTGATTTGGTCCAAGCATTGAAAAAAACATGAAACGCTTGCAGCCTACAGAACAGTTGCCACCAAGGCTCCGTTCCTGGCCGTTTGTGGTGCAGAAGGCGATCGCCCTGATGTCTCACCCACTAATCATGGACACGGACCGTCAAAAAAAAAAACATTGCTTGGGTTGGTGATGGTTGGTGTTTCAAGGGAAAAACATAGCAAAACCCATGTGTTGACATATGTTGACATCTCAAAATTCTTCATCCAATTGACCCCAGGTTTTCCATGGACGTTCCATGGGCCTGGTGTGCCATTCTGCCGTGCCGTCGCTGTCGCTGCGGTCGCTGCGGTCGCTGCGGTCGCTGCGGTCGCTGGCCGCTCCGGGCCACTTCCCCAGGATGCACGGCGTTGCGGGAGAACGGGCTCACTGACCTTGGATCAGGTTGATTCCAAGGGACAAAATCCACCCAGAACATTCACCCAGGATTGCGGGACCCTTGGTGCTTGGTAATCTGGGGGGGTGCCACGACTTTAAGGGGATTGCCCAACAAAACAAGTGACTTGGATTTTTTGTGAGATTTTGGTTGAAACCACGGGATTTTACAGCGATAAACCATGGGAGTTCCTGCAACATGTTCAGGGGATCCAAGTTTGGAAGGAATCTCAAATAGATAGATGAAGCTGCCCAACGCTACAATTTAGATAGGGTATCTCATAGACTGGTTTGTTTGACCCATGATTTTTTTACCATCAAAAATGGAAGTCCTGTTCATTTTCTAGAGTAGCGGTTTGTCTTTTCAACTGGTTGATGGAAGGCCCATAAAAAAAGGGATTCAGTTTGGAGACCTTCGGCTGACAATCATACAGGTCCCAGCCGAGATTTTCAGATTGAGCACAGTTTCCCACCATTAAAAGAATGTCCGAGTGACCAACTGAAGCATGTGCGAGACATGACATGGGCATGTTACATGACCAAGCACTGCACCGACTGGAAAACCCTGGACCTATTTGTTGCAGTACCATTCTCAACTTTAAAATGCAGACAGAATCAAATTGTGGAAAAGGGGAACCTGAAAAAAGAAAAAAACATTACCAGAAATGAAAAACAAAAAAAATACAACAGAAAAACATTGATGAAAAACACCAGAAAATATATATATATATAAATGTGTTTTTCCTGTTTTCCTTCCCCCTTTGTTGTTTCGTTTATTCTTGTTTGTGTCCCATCTGTGCCCGGTGTTTATATGTTTGTTTTTTTTGTGCGTGTTCTTTCAGTTTGTTCCTTTGTCCTGTTTGCTTTACATCCCCTTTTCAAACATTTTCTTCAGGGCAGGCTTCTCATGACAAAATTATATGTAATTTGAACTACTTTTGAAAATTGGAGCAGAAACACACTGGAGGAAAAAGGGCTATAAAATGCGCAGTACAAAGACTATCTACACAACCAACAAAAACAACAGTTATCAACCCAGTTCCTTTGACCGCTCCGGGACTCTTTTATTGTTCGGTTGCCTTTGACCGTTGGACTTGTTCCGAATTCGCGAAGCACCCTGCGAGACGGATCACGCATGGGGTATGGCAGAAAAACTCACAACATTATCGCCCTTCCCTTCATCACGTAACATTCAAATTTTCAAAAAATGGTTCGCCATGAGTGAATCCAATATAAAAGACTCTTTGGAAGGATCCAACAGTGGGGAAATGAGATTGGAAACAACAAAACAGTTTGTCGCCTAGACAGATATGCTTTTACCAACCAGCAGCTCACACACAGAAATCCGCTGTTCATATTTTACATCGCCTCGTCCATGTTTCGCATCACTCATGATGCGCATCCTTTGGATGCTGCCATCCACTCTGGTGAGACGGGAATGTCATTAGACCGAACACAATTTTTGTTGCAACCTTTGGCACATGAGCAAGCTACCTGGTTAAAGTTAGTTTTTCCACATAGGTCAAAATATATACATCCATCGTATTTACATTTTTTGTTTACATGTATGGATTTATTCCAATTCTGTATTTATTAATTTATTTATTTTTGTTTGTCTCATGTTTTTAAAACGTATGTTTGTCATTCACAAATGAAAGATTTCCAAACATATGCAGTATCACACAACTATTTCAACATGTTCACTTCACATTTTGCTAGGCTATGCTGTTGGCCACTGACTGCGGTCAAATTGTTGGACTGCGGGCCTGACCCGGCAGTCCGTGTGCAAACAACCTACCGGTTTCATTGATGTTGTAATATGTTTTAGACTACCGCTGCCGGGTCCATTTTTAGGGATTGTTTTCTGGTCCGTGGCGTCCTTCATCTTAACCAATTCCATCATTGGTAAAATCCAAACCCACGACGTCAATGTCCTCCCCCGCATCCTAGATGTACAACTGAGTGCGCCACGGGCGCTGTCCATGTTGCAAAACAATGGACCATGGGACAGCTGACGTTCTCAGCTACATCGCCAATGTGGATCGATTATGATGATGTTGCTGATCCTACTTTTCGATCATTTGGTCTGTGCCAACAATGTATGCATAATGTATCATTCCTCACGCCCTGTTTTCGCATGAAGTAATCCACAAATATATTTTTCGCAAATAGGAAATTGCATGCATTTTGGTGAAACATCGTGGTGTCACCGTAAAACATGTTGCGGGTGGGGTCTGGAAAGTATTTTTCTCCAAACCCAAAAGCTGAAAAACTGCAACGCTGCAGAGGCAGTGGTCATCAACCTCCATCGACACAGGGTCGCCCGCGCCACACGCACCGCACACGAGGCCCTCAAACAAATGACAAATAAGGGAGGGAAAAATTGGCCACGCACGTGACCTGCCCTACTTGATTTGCCTGCACGCACTGGGCACATTGACGATGACCGTGGCACATTGACGATGACCGTGGCGCAGCGTTTATGATTGGATTTTTTGTTGTTCCAAACAACATCGTCCAAGTTTTTTAGATTCCAACATGACGCCAGGCCTGCGTTTCCGCAGATTTGGGTCTGGATCTGGAAAAGTTGCCGCACAAAAAAACGTCCGAGACTGCATATAGCCGGAACGCGGCCTGCGTTTCACTAGATTTGGTCAGGAAAAGCAGCAACATGATAAATAAAAATGAAACACAAACTACCTTGGAAAATGAAGGCAGCAAACGCACGACATTCACAAAAACATACTTGCACTGTACGCGTGGCAGTCACTTGGTGCGACCCTCATGCTATGCGGGTTTCCAACTGCAGGCGACAATTTTTGTGGCACTGCTGCGCCCACGAAAGCGCCAGTGATATTGCTCAGGCTATGCGAGGTCTGATAGCACAGAATCGGCGTGAAACTGCCGCTTGACCCGCCAGGTGCGTACATTCATGATACTTCATCTGCACGCCCCCTTCTCAACTCCCCCCACCCTTCCAAATTTCGCAGCCCTCCCATCCCCCCTCCAAATTTAGTCATTATTAATGTATTGACCCATGAAGTGGGTGGCCTCCTGTAATTCGGCAAACTTAGATTTCAGGGGGAGGGGCCTCAAAAGCGTCATGCTATTCCGTAGGATTCGCTAGGACAACTCCATGAGCATCAACGATCCAACTTGCAAAATCAATGTAGCAAACTCCCTCCTCACCTTTTTCTAAACAAATTAGTCCAATATTGAGAATGTGTTCGGAAAACCCCCCACCTCCTTAGGTAACCTCTTACTTTAAAAAAGGAAAAACCTTTCAAGGGGAGGGGGTGTGGAAATGTATGACAAATGCCCTGCCTCCCCCCATGAAAATATATTTTAAAGGGTGGTGGATCATTGATCATGATATAGCATGAAATGTTGTATACAAATTGAAAAGCAAGAAAGTAAAAGTGCGTAATTCTGAAGTGAATGAAGCGGCGACGAACATAGAACGAAGGAAAATGAAGAACGCAGGCACCAACAGCCTGGCAGCCTTTCTTGGTGAAACATGGTCCACTTGTGTGACGCAAGTGGAATTTGTGGGCGGCAATCCGACCGTGGGCCCACTCTGACATGTAAAAAAAAAACCGTGTCGCAAAAACCCGGCTATATAACAACATCCTGCAACTCACCCGCAATGGCTATCGGACTATCGGCCACATCGAATTCGTTGGGGGCCGTGCTGTTTGGATCCCAGACCTTGTCGGCATCGCGCATGGAAGTCTTCGCGGTGTTGTTTCTGGCACATTTGGCACAGAAAGTGCCTTGGGCACAGGGTATGCCCCGTTTTTGCCACTGTTTCAAACACCTTGTCCTGGATAAAAACAGTATTACAACTGGTGCGGTGTGATGGTACGCCCAAGCGGGTTCTAGATGGTTTGAAGTTTTCAGCGTCAACAATGTCAGTGTGGTGAACCACGCGTAAGAAGCGCTAGTACTATTGAACTGGCATGTGGGGCAAGGAAATTTGATTTTCACCACCAACTCTTAATGGCAAATGACCGTTCCAAGATTGAAATGTTTTTTGCTTGCAATTGGTTTTACGTATGCTCATCGTCTAGCAAATAATGTCCAGTATTTTGTTCACGAAATAAAGTCTCGATTTTGCAGAATGTGTAAGCAAAGAAAAGGAAGCACTTCACAAAGTATACCCCTATATCAAGACAAGACCGTCAATTTTTGCAACTATTGCACGTTTGACATCAAAATTTCAAGACGTTCAATTTCTCAGAAAAAACTTCGCAGGGTAACCAGGTCTATTCAAACCATTGCGGGCCCTTGCACGTTATGTACGTTTCACAAGTTAGGTCTGAATGCTACCTATGATGCCATTATTTTTCCTAGCGTCAAACCCTTGTTCAGATGTGTTTCCTTCTTAATTTTGTCGGAGATAATTTTGCTACATCAATTTTAGCAATGTGCCGCTCCCAAACGCCGTGCTGCACTTGAAGGCCCCGGTTTCAGCAGAAATTACAATGCTTGCATCGGACATGCTACACGAAACCGTTATTATATTCCTAACTACTCCCAGTTTGCACTTGCCGAAATGTGTCAGGGCGCGTGAAGAACAATGTGAAGGACTCTTCAACGTCTCGACGAATTTTGATTGAACATTTTTTGGCGGCCGTGGGCGCTCAAGTGTCCGTCCCCGTGGGCCCACACTGCGACTGCATGCCAATGGTCCGGGCAAAAATCCACTAATGTTTCTTTTTTTGGGTTCGTTTGTCATTTGTGTTTCCGTACCCCGCCCGTTTGTCCGAAACATTGTCCCGAATTTTTACTCATATTTGGTTCAGGATCGGATTGGCACCCCTGAATTTAATTTTCAACATTGTTCGGCTATCTGTGGCGCAGGTGTGGGCACCGTTGTTGTTGTTGTTGTTGTTGTTGTCGTCGTCGTCGTCGTTCTTGCTCTTGTTCTTGTGTTTGTGTTTGTTTTTTCTGTTTTTGTTTCTGTTTTTGTTTCTGTTTTTGTTTTTGTTTTTTTTTTTCCTGTTGTTGTTGTTGTTGTTGTCGTTGCGGTTGCTTGCCTTGCATGGCGATGTGTTGTTCACCTAACAGTGTTTGTTACAGTGCACTTGGTACTCGGCGAAACGCCACAATGTTATCACCCGGCCAGCACCCCCCAGCAACCCCCTAGCAGCTCACAAACGAACCACCTCCTTGTCAAAACATACCACTCCAACATGCTGAAGCAAATGTGGGCCCATTTATGTCGTGATTGGAGAGGGAGGAGGGCCAAAAAAAAAATTGACATGCGACGTGTTCGCTGTTCAACCGTGCCACCCAACTCCAAAAACGATGCCAACAATAACTCAAGACTTCCAAATTCGAAAAAATAACCTTAACGAAGGGACAGGTTGGCAGCATCCGCAACAACAAGGGACACTGACGCTGCAAACTTCTGGAATATGCTCTCCAAAGATAGTGAACGCGAATGTGTTGCTCGGAATTCAAGCGGCATCCTTGCAGGCATGGCACCACACAGACAGGTCAACACGTTGTACTGCAAAGCAACTCTGTGTTTTTTTTCCCCCTGCGAAGGCTCAGTAATGCTAACACGTGGACAAGCCTGCCCTCGTCTGCATAATCGACATCCCTCAGGGCTATGATCTTGAAGTTTGCATTGATTGGAACTGAGGGCTCCGCATTTTGGTTTGTACCTGGGCGGGGTGTCTGAATCTGCCACAGCAACATGTGCAGTTGTTATACGTACCAGGAAGCAAATTCTGGCATGCTATCTTGGCTGTGGCTCTGATGGCGAAGGCTTTTGCAGAAGAACAGGCGGCTCCTCTCACTCTTCATCAGCTTCCCTGCCACGCAAAGTGCCGCGGCGTCACCGGCGCCAAAAACCATGGAGAGGCAATTGAAGGATGTTATGGATCCATCGCCACGCTTTCATCACTGCCATACATGAGAATCGGTCACTGTCCGCATCTAGATTCGAGGTTGGAAAGGAAAGCAAAATATCCAAAACGTTGGCTGTGGACATGGGCTCGCATTCAACTCCTGAATCACCCATGCATTGACGAAAGCTGAGCACTTGCGGAATATATTTGACTAATGTGGACACCTTGCATATCTGGCTATGCTGCGAATCCTCATTCTTTGGGCAAACATGGGTTGTTGCAAAACTTGAAGCACTGGGCTGGCATGTTCAACCCAGGGTTTCTAAGCAATCAACCTTTGTCTGGAATGAGTCGCTTGTTGTGGGGAGAACTGACCGGAAATACATCGTGGTGAAGAAATCTGTGGCGGGTTCTGTTGTGAAGCTGTCTCAATCTGCAGGTGATCAGATGTCATATTTGACTGATTCACTGGTCCAACCTGTCTGGTGCTGTAGGACTCAAACCTTCGTGATGAACAAAATTTAGGAG